TGCAGCCGTCTCCCAGACCTTGGCAGGCAGCACTCCAGCAAATGCCAAGGCCAAGAAGAAGAACCAGGAAATTCTCAACTTCTGGGGTTTCTTGGGCGCCGAGGACCGGAGAGTTTTGTCCAGCGACGACACCCTCGTCATGAGGCTGACTCACACTGCTCAGATAATGGCTCGACTGGAGATGTTCTGGCCATCAGAACAGTCTGTGGGACACATCATCAAGACCCTGCAGAGTTGCAACAATACTGGCTTGCAGAGCCCCGACGAGTTCCATTCGGCTGTCGTGTGCCTCAAGAAGAAGGTGAAGACCATGCTCAAAGATGCTTCCTGTGGCGAGTTCGTCGCCAAGTACACTCGGCCTGAGGATCTTCCACCACACACCCGAGATCGCTTCGCAGATGCCTTGGGAGGTGAGCTGCCTGGAACAATGGTGCTGGCCCGTGATGCTCTTCGTGGCAGTAACAAAAGCCTCTCTTTCCACAAGAGCAACACTGCCATGGTGCTGGGTGGTCCAGCAGCAGGCCCGGCAATGCACATGCCCCACACCATGCAGGGTATGATGCAGTTCTGGGGCAGCATGGCAGCTAACATGTTCAACCAGCAGCAGCAATTGGCGAAGAAGAACGATGGATTGCCTGGGTTGAAAATCTTCGGCGACCCAGCTGCTGCCGCCTCGTCTGGGACGATGGCCTCCTCGCCTGCTCAACAGCAGGCCTTGCAGCTTCCTACAGTTACCAATGAACCGGCACAGGGCAGCGGAACAAAGCAGGCCGAGCAACAGGGAGTGCTGGCCAGCAAGGATCCTGTCAGTGCTGCACAACATGCAGATGAAATGCTTCAAGCTTGGAAGGGCGACAACAAAGGGTTCGACAGCACCGTCGAGGCCGAGGCCAAGGAAAACGAGGCGAAGCACAAGGCAAATAAGAAGCCCAAGGCTGCAGCCAAGGCCAAGGGTAAAGCCAAGGCCAAGGCTAAGGCGAAGGCCAAGTGCACGGCCATGAAGTCCCAGCCCAAAGCAAAGTCGCAGCCCAAGGCGAAGGCCAAGGCTGCTTGCAAGGCGAAGGCGAAGTCGCAGCCGAAGAAGGTCCAGAAGGCTTTGCAGAAGTTCACTCGAGAAGAGGTCCGATGCATGACTTTGTCGGCTCGCATCAAGCTGCGACCCAATGGGTGTGCCAAGTGCCGGGAAAAGCCCGGCTGCACACCGTCGTGCTTTGGCCCGTGATTGCATCAACAGCTGCTGAAAGCATGCACAGCTGGAGTCCTATATAGGGTGAGAGTTTGGAGGCTACAGGCAGAGTGTATACATCTTAAGTCTATATGCATGTTGACGTGTTTTGGTGTCTTCCAGCATCAGCAAAGTTTTGTTCGCGAGCCTCCAGGAAGCATGCACCTTATTATTCATCTTTCACAAAGGCTGTGTGTACATTAAAGGCATTGTACCTCGGGAGGTATAATGTTGGGAGCATCGCTTGCCACGGAGGGAAAGACCGAAGCGATCCTGGCAGGTGTCAAAAGCGGTGGTGCAGGATGCCTGCACGATCCGGGTTTTTGTTTCGTGGCATATTATATATGTGTTATATACATATATATATATATATATAGATATACTTTACATATGGGATGTATATATATATATATAGGAGCCTATATATACTTTATATATATATATATATATATATATGGGTTGATATATATATATATATACACACACATATATTATACAGGGGTGTCCTTTTAGGAGGGTGCGAATGTGGACCCTTCTTCGAGAGCTATGTTGAAGCTTTCGAGTTGTACATGTATATATTATATATGGCTTTGCGATTTATTAAGATGTGTCTCAGGATCACGTTTGGTGTTAGGTTAGGTTTGGTGTGGTATATACTATATATATAACTGTATATACATGTATATATATGTGTACAAATCAATACTCGGATGCTATATATCTATAGCTTTCGGGTTTCTGTGTATACATATATATATATATATATCAAATATTTAGTTTCGGGTTTATGGTTAAAGGTTGTCTTGGCCTTGCACTGGAGTTTCCCGGACTGCTCGCAGTGGGGTTGCACCGTTGCAGCAATATGCTTGGAAACCTGCAGGAACAAAGAGCATGCATATATACATGTAAACAAAACATATCTCTGTATATATATATATATAGATATATAAGGTACGTACACAGTGCCTGCATGCTCCCATCCACTTTTCCTATATATAGTATACCTTTTATACAGATATACATATATATATATGTATGAATCTGCAGTCAAAGTAGTGGGTCGCTCGGCAGGGCCAAGAGCTCGCCAGCAGACCCCATGGCTTCCGCCGGGAGCTCCTCGCTCTCCTGCTTGGGAAGGAAATCATATGTATCCCAGCGAGGTCTCAGTCAGGTCTTGCAGGAACTCAAAGAGCTGCCCGAGTTGCCATCTGGGACGAGTCGCCGAACACTGAAGCGGGCCCGGGATGAGAAGACTCGGAGCTACCAAACTGCTTATGGCGAGATCCTATGCGACTTCAAGTGTGTTGCCGAAACTGGTGTGGAGTTTGAATTTCCTGTCTTGAACCCAGCTGCAATGCTTGCCTGGGCGACAGAGCGATGTCGACCATTTGGCGAGTTCCTGGAGAGGGCCATGGATGCCACACCCCCCAGCATTCTTCAACCATGGGGATTGGTGTGGTATTCCGACGAGCTGGCTCCGGGCAACCAACTCAAGCACTCCAACCGGAGAAAGGTCCAGGCTGTATATTGGAGCCTGCTCCCTTTGGGACAGCATGCAATGGGTTGCGAAAATTGCTGGTTCACTCTCTGTGCCATTCGCAGCTCTCTGGTCGCAGATCTCGGCGGCATGACTGTGCTCTTCAGGCAGCTAGCAGCCTTGTTCTTTGAGAGACCTGACTTCAGAAAAGGTCTTGTGTTGCAGTGCCCTGGACAAGCACGTATGCTCTTTGCCGACTTGAAGATCATCATATCCGACGAAGCTGCAATTAAGGCTACCCTTTTCAATAAAGGAGCCAGTGGGCTCATATTCTGTGTTCAATGCCAAAACGCCGTGGACCACAAAAGCAGCATTGCTGAAAGGAGTCGGGGCAATATGGTGTCCGGCCTGGAAACCGACATGAGTTGCTTTCGGATGCACACACCCGAGTCTATACGAGACACCATGGACTTCTTGCGAAGGCAAGAGACGGTCCTCAACAAAGACAGATTCCTGCAACTCCAAACAGCAATGGGGTTCAATTTCAAAGAGGATGGATTGCTGGCACATGCAGCATACGGGCCTCCGGTCATCGAGTGTGTGATGTTCGATTACTTCCATATCTATTTGGTCAATGGCATCTTCAATGTTCTGACGGGGTTTTTTCTTGGAGAGCTTCACAACCATGGCTGGAAGCACAATGACATTGATCGCTTCGCAAATGGTTTTACCTGGCCTTCTCGTTTGCGAGGTGCTGCTGCAAAGGATATCTTGCAGAAGCGAAAGCCAAGCGAAACCTTGAAGTGTGGAGCCAGCGAGGCTCTGAACTTTATGCAGCTGCTGCGACTCTATGTGCTAGTCTTTGTGCTGCCAAATTGCAGCAGAGATATCCGGGACTCTTGCGAGGTTTGGTTGGCTTTGTGCAAGGTGATTGATGCTTTGCAAGCGATCAATGCCAAACCTTCAGCATTTACCCCCCTGCAGTTGCAGCAGCTCATCAAAAGGCATCTCGATCTGGCGAAAAGTCGGTATGGAGATGAGTGGTGGGTGCCAAAGTGTCACTTGGCAGGCCATTTGGCGCTGCAACTGGCCAAGCATCAGGTCCTCCTCAGCTGCTTTGTGCACGAAAGAAAACATAAAATCATCAAAAAAATTTCGAATGAAATTTTGGATACAAGCAGAACCTTTGAGAGGAGCATCCTACAAGATGTACTCCATGGTCACATGGAAAGTCTGGCAGAGGGTGTATACCTCCCAGGCCAAGGAGTTCGCTTGGTCGACCCTGTGAGACCAGCTCCTGCCAGATTGCAAACAGAGATACACAACACGATCCGGGTCCAGGGTGAAGTCTTCACAGCCAGGCAGGCAGTGCATGGAGGAAACTTCACCGTGGCTGTCGGCGACTTGGCCTTGATGGATCTGGATGGGGTCACTGCCGTAGGCAAAGTGGCTTATCATGTAATGTGCGAGAAAGTTGTATGGTCGCACATTACCTTCTGGACACATGTCCATGGCTGTATGTATGAAGTCTCCGACGATTGTGGCCTCGTGCAAACCCGACTGATCCGGGCCACATGCCCTTACAGCATTTCGGGCAATGCTGCCATTGTCGCAGTCCCGCAGGTGTAAAAAAGAGAACTGCATGCGAGCTTTAAAGCCCTGCATTGCGTCTCTGAGCAGCATGCTTCATGCAACTTAGATCACTTAGCTCACTTATCTTTTTCATATAAATACACTTAGCTAACCAAGTTAACTTCAACATAGCTAAGTTCAATAACTACACTTACACATCTCATATAAGTCATTTGCTAACTGTGCCAAACAATTAACAACCTGCATATACAATTACTAACACCCCCGCCCCTTCAAGTATGGCTTTATGTCCTCAACCCTGTCCCGCTATTAGTTTTCTGAAGCCCCGTTTCGGAGCCACAGGGATGTGGTGGCGGTCTTCGCAGAAGAGTAGGACAAAGTTGTGGGGTGTAGAGGTTTACATTTGAGTTTTATAGGGGTGTATAGAGGCCTAAATAATTAGACTAAGGCTTTGAGATGACTGGAGCAATATTGTATTACATAATTGCCAATTCTGTTTTGGGGGTTCCTTATATGTAGTAGTTATAGTATAATGGGCCCCACAACCCTATTCCCATTCTGAAGGCCCCCACATTTAAACCCGTATAGTACCCTTAACATATCCCTGACAGGAACCCGTTAAAGGAACCCTATCTTCCAATAATCAAGGCCCCTACATTATGGTGGTTGAGATTGGGTTTGAATGGCCTAAACCCTAAACCCTAGGCTCCACAACGATGATGGCAACCTTCAGTCCAAGCTGGTCACACAGCTTCTCGGCCAACTTCTCCTAACTTTCTCCTACGTAAAGGGGCCTTAGTTGTTCGAATAGAGCATTAAGTAGGGTTTAGGGATGTTTAGGGTTTAGGCCTTAATAGTTAGAATAAGATGTTGAATTGGAGTTTGGCGCACATTATCAAATAGTTACCTTCATTGGTGGGGTTCCAGGTTACTCCAAACCCTAAACCCTGGTGTTGCTCGATGACCCGCAAAACTCCGCACTTTAAGCGCCATGATGCCTAGATCAAGCTCTGAGCAAACAAAAGCAGAATTCCCCAAAGACCCCAGGGTCTAAACCACAAAGACCCTCAAGCTCCGAAACCCTGCATTTTTTCGAAAACCTGAACCCTAAACCCCAATATCGCCGTGAAGACCCACAAACAACACAGGTTTGATGGTTTCGAAACCTCGAACCCCAAAACCCCAATAGAGCACTGAAGACTCTGAAACAGCACAGGTTTGATGGTTTCGGAACCCTGGCCCCAAAACCCTACACCCTCAAACAGCACAGGTTTAAAGGTTTCGAAACCCTGAACCCTAAACCCCAATAGAGCCCTGAAGACCCTGAAACAGCACAGGTTTGATGGTTTCGGAACCCTAGCCCCAAAACCCTAAACCCTCAAACAGCACAGGTTTAAAGGTTTCGAAACCCTGAACCCTAAACCCCAATAGAGCCTTGAAGACCCTGAAACAGCACAGGTTTGATGGTTTCGGAACCCTAGCCCCAAAACCCTAAACCCTCAAACAGCGCAGCTTTAAAGGTTTCGAAGCCCTGAACCCTAAACCCCAATAGAGCCCTGAAGACCCTGAAACAGCACAGGTTTGATGGTTTCGGAACCCTAGCCCCAAAGCCCTAAACCCTCAAACAGCACAGGTTTAATGGTTACAAAACCCTAATCCTAAACCCTCAAACAGCACAGGTTTAATGGCTTCGAAACCCTAAACCCTAAACCCTCAAACAGCACAGGTTTCATGGTTTCGAAGCCCTTAACCCTAAACCCTGGAACAGCACAAGTTTGGTGGTTTCGAGACCCTAAACCCTAAACCCTCAAACAGCACAGGTTTGATGGTTTCGAAACGGATACCCTAAAACCCAAACCCCCAAGCAGCACAGGTTTCATGGCGTCGAAACCCCAAACCCTAAACCCTCAAACAGAACAGGTTTAATGGTTTCGAAACCCTAAAGCCTAAACCCTCAAACAGCACAGGTTCAATGGTTTCGAACGCCTAAACCCTAAACCCTCAAACAGCACAGGTTTAATGGTTTCGAAACCCTAAACCGTAAACCCCAATAGAGCCCTGAAGACCCTGAAACAGCACAGGTTGATTGTTTCGAAACCCTAAACCCTCAAACTGCACAGATCTAATTGGATTCGAAACCCTAACCCTAAACCCTCAAACAGCACAGGTTTAATTAAATGGTTTCGAAGCCCTAAACCCTAAACCCTCAAGCAGCACAGGTTTAATGGTTTCGTAACCTTAAACCCTAAACCCTCAAACAGCACAGGTTTAATATTTTCGAAACCCTAGACCCGAAACCCTAAACCCTCGAAGAGCACAGGTTTAATGGTTTCGGAACCCTAAACCCTAAACCCACAAACAGCACGGGGTTCATGGTTGCGAAACCCTAACCCTAAACCCTAAGCCCAAACAGCACAGGTTTAAAAATTCCGAAATCCTAGACCCGAAACCCTAAACCCTCAAACAGCACAGGTTCAATGGTTTCGAAACGGACACGAGCTCCTGTTTGGCCTTTGCGCCCTCGCATCGGGCTTCGGGGGAAGCCGGGCCAGTCGAGTCTGGCGACTGGCAGGCGGGTCCGAAAGGGTCTGAACAATGAGGGTTTAGGAGTTTAGGGGTCCGGGGGGTCTGGAAAATTGGGGTCTAGGGTCTAGGGGGAAAGAAAAACTGGGGTTTTGGGTTTAGGCCCTGTTCAATTGCTGGGGCCCCTGCGGGTGTCGAGGGTTTTCTCAGTGAAGGTTCTAGGATTCTAGGCTATAGGATTAAGGGGCCTATAGACTAGGAGTTTGAGGGTTTGGGGGGTGTCTTGATCTGGAGGATTGGGTGACAAGGATGTCGAGCCTGTTCTGGATGTATCCAGTTAAGGGCTTGTGGGGTGTGGGGTAGGATTTACACTTTAAGCTTCGTCTTTGTTCTATCCTTGCAGTGTCATGGTTGGAGGTTCCACGTGGTCGCTGGGGGGGGTGTGGGGGAACTTTTTAGGATGAACCGATTGATCTCGGGGCTGCGGATACGGTTCAGCGCTTAACATTACCGGTCCCAGTGCCGGCTGATAATTGTTTCCAACAGACTAGTGACTGTTAGACTTCGCAAAAACCACTGCCATCAACGCCCGCCAAGAAATCAAAGGCCACCCCTCAAACATCTAAGCCCTACCTGGACCTTCAGTAACCATCAGTTTACGGCCGCTCATGAGGAAGTCCAAAGGTTGTTGTAAGCCTATTTTCGGGATCCGCACAGGTTGAGAATGCGGACGATTTCGTTGAGCTGAAGCCTTGGGCGGTGCCGTGTGGCACGAATCTTGCTTCAGCTTTTGGGATTTGTTTTTGCTTGCCTGCTTTCGGGTTACGCATAACCCGAAAAACAGTTTGTTTTCCGGGATTTTGGTCGTGATGTTCCTATACGTCTCCTCGAATAAGGTAGTCTGGTTCTGCTTTGGAAGGGGTTGAGAAAGGTTCGTTTTCTCCAGCTCTACGGCCCTGTGGAGGCCCCCCAGATCCCAACTTTGGATAAGTCACCGCACGCCCTAAACCCTAAAAAGCTGACTGCTACACAGCGAACAAAGCTAAACCCCAAAACCTGTAGCCCTAAAGCCTGAAAATCTTGAACCGTCAAGCCTCAAATCCTAAACCCTGCACCCTAAAATCCTAAACCCTACAACCCTGTCACACATCCTAAAAAAACCCTTGTAAAGCCAATTATGGGAACCCTTGTAAAGCCCTTGTAGAACCCTTACTTAGTAGCTGAGTGGATACACTTTACACTTTTTGGGATAATTTTACCCACTATAGAACCAAAAGTGCACACTTCTGGGGGGGGCTTATGAACTCAGCTACTAGGTTTAATGGAACCCGAAAGAGAACTCAGGAAGTGGATGAAGCGGAACTGGGACAAGTGGCAAGGCCGGAGCTTTGGTAGTGGGGAGCCCCAAAAAGGGACCCTAACTTTAGCAACCACCCACCTATACCACCTTTAAAGGGATCCTTAAGGGTTCCTTTTGGGGATCTATAAGGGATCTGTAAGGTTTAGGAGGGGTTTGGAGCCACTTTAGAGTCTAGAGGGGTTTGGGGATACTTTGGGGTTTATCGGGTTTAGGGATTGGGGTTTAGGGTTCGGGGTTACCTCGGGGATTGGGGTTTAAGGCAGCTTGAAGGTTCAGGGGGATTCTACTAGGATGGCGATATAAGGCTGTTTGGGATTTAGCTAAGACCCAAGAACCTCAGCTTTCTTGGTGCTCTTATGTAGTATTGTTACATAGGGTGTAAAGCCTTCACTCTTTGAAGCGGTTCTAGGTGCTATGGTAGTCAAGAGGGTACCCTAAACCCTGAGCCAAAGAAAAACAAGCTTAGATGCCCTCGTTGCCATCAGAGCTCTCTAAGCCCAAACCCTAAACCCTAAACCCGCTGTACTGGAGTTGGAAAAGGGCCCTCAAAAAAAAAACAAAACCCGTTTTTCATAGACTCTAGGAGCCCTCAGATTTGCCCTGGCATTCGTGGAACCAGGGCAGCAATGCTTGAGTGCTCTGAGGAACTGTGTAATGGTCTTATTGTAATCAAACTCCAAGGGATTAATGAGAAGGTTTGTTATCTGGGTTGAAATGCGCGCAATCCAACTATTCTCGCCCCCGCAAAGCGTTACAAGACTTCACACAACACCCCATCAAACCCGAATAAAACCTTCATGTGGCCCCATGGTTTTAATAACTCAGGCCCATATAGTACCAGCACTTTTTGGCATAAAGCAGTGATACACCTGCGGTCTGTGGCAGCCCGCGGCCTCGGGAACCCCGACCAAGTCTGAGAATCATAGAGGGGTCTACATGGGAGTTTCCGGAAATAGGGGACCCTAATATAGTACCCTAAATAATAGGATCCTGATTATAAGGCCCCCAGAATAAGGTACCCCTATTTTCGGAAACTCCCAAATACTCAGAATCAGATTCACAGTGACGCTGCAACATACATCCCAATGCCCTATTCTCATGAAGGTTCAACTTAGTAAGACCCCTATACCAACGAGGCTACTCTTTCTACACGGGCTCTCTGGCCATTGAGAGGTGCGTGACGGCCGCATTGCAGCATGTATCACAAAGACATCATGTGCTGTTCTCCCGATGGTTTGCTCACATCTTGAAAACCGGTGCTTACATTCAGAGCTGAAGCCTCGACAGTGGCATCATTCTGTGCTCAGCGTGTCCAGCGCTCGATTCTAATTTTTCACAACCAGGCTACATCGTGAGCCAGACCTAGAATGAGACCGAAGACATGTTTTACTGGAGTGAAAGGCATACGGCTCCGGTCTCACTGTCTTAACCCGGCACAAGTTCAAGCTTAAGTTCCGCTGACCCCTGCTCCAGACGGTCACCGGTACTATAGTGCGAAATAGGAGAAATCTAGGGGCCTTAATAATTAGAATAGGGTTTTGGGGCCCACTATACTGTAATGATAATAAGGAACCCCAAAATAGTATAGGTAATCATTAAAGTTCTATATTATGGAGTACGCAGCATGGTTAGCATTTCGAGCTCCTGAAGCCCATCGGCGCCCCCGTAAACTCGTAAGACAGGGTTTAGGCTTTAGGGTGGAGTGTACTTGGAGGTTCATGGGCAGTTATAAGTGGGGTTATACGTCCCCTAATATGGGTTATAATTATAGCTACCCGACTTATAACTCCACTTATAAATGCCCGTGAACCTCCAAGTAGAGGTCACGCAGAAGACCCACCCAGGTGACCTACGCCATCAACGTGCAGCCCGTCATTGCTTTCATTGGCGGCTTGCAGTTTGACGTGATGCCAAAGCCGCTGGCTTCGGTGACTCGGGCAAATCATAGGGCTTCACGTTTAAGTTTAAGGTCTACATTGTACATGAAAGTGATGAATGTCAGACTGAATGCATGACGTGAAGCTCGCTAATGCTAACTTACACAACCACTATACTAACCCCAGGTACTTAATTATGGGGTCCTTTGAACCCTTGGGAGAGTTTTCGGCCCTGAGGGATCAGTAGCGCCATTTTTATTGGGGCTCCTTAGTTTTAACGCCCTCAACGAGCTTTCGGCAACATCTGACTTGTGAGCCCTACCCTACCTTTTGTTTCCTTCACAGTTCCTGCCTTTTGGCTACCTTGTTTCTTTGTTTTTGGATCCTAACCACGAGGGTTAAAAAAAGCGAAACGTGTAGTTGCCTGGTTCGTCCCTTGGCTCTTTGTTGGGTCCCAACCACAACTTTTCGGAACCCGACCAGGGAACCACAATGAATGGTGCAGGTAAAGCCCTAAACCAGCAACCCGAAACCCTGAACGCCAAACCCGGCACCCTAATTCCTAAACCTTGAACTCTCGGCATCCCTGAACCCCCTAAACCCCAATCCCTGAACCCTAAACCCCAAACCCTGAACCCTAAACCCCAAACCCTGAGCCCTAAACCCCTAAACCCTGAACCTTAAACCCTGAACCCTGAACCCTAATCCCTGAACCTAAACCCTGACCCCTAAACCCCAAACCCTGAACCCGCCTAAACCCCAAACCCTGAACCCTAAACCCTAATCCCTAAAGACCAGGTTGACACGACTGTTTGCTGGCCGAAGGGCCGGCCCGACGGCCAGGACTTGAGCATGCTTCGCACCGAGCCCCTTGGATGCTATAAGGGTTTAGGGGTTTAGGGTTTATGGGGTTCAGGGTTTGGGGGTTTAGGGTCTGGGGTTTAGGGTTCATGGGGTTTAGGGTTTGGGGTTCAGGATTTGGGGTTTAGGGTTTAGGGTTTGGGGTTCAGGGTTTGGGGTTCAGTTCAGGGTTTAGGGATCAATGTTTAGGAATAAGGGTTCAGGGTCTAGGGTTCAGGGTTCAGGGTTTGGGCCTCAGTGTTTAGGAGTCTAGGGTTGAGGGTTGACGGGGTTAGGGTCTAGGGGTTTGGGGTTGAGGGTTTAGGGTTTACCAGGTGTTTCACGTGGGTTTCATTTTGCTTTGGGGTGACTTGCTGCACTTGGTTTATTCCGAGGTTGAGTCCTTGCGGCTTGCTTCTTTGAATAGGGCGGATGGGTTTTTGGGGTGCGGGAGTTTTGGTGTTTATGGTTACTAGACTGATGGCTTTTCGGCAAACTTGTTCGTGATTTCTTAGGGGTCCTATTTGGGCACCTACTCGAAATACCGGTGGATTCATGGATACATCACTGGGGATCCTTTCTCTTTGCGGGTTGCGTTTCTTGAGCGCTTAACAAGGAGCCCATCATGGCGTTCTAACCTAGTTTAGTTTCAGGCTAGTCCCCAGTATGATGCCATGTTGACCTGCCGGGCACCCTAAACCCTAAACTCTAGAAGCAAGGATCAAGTCCAGTGGCGTGCTGCTCTATTCCAAGACCCTTCGGTTGAACAAGCGCTTCTGGGTCCGACATTCATGGTCTCGGGTACAGAGTAAGGGTTTAGGCTTCTGGGTGCTGGTCGAAAACGGAGGGTGTAATTTAAAAGGCTAATTAAGTGGCTAGTATACTTGCTAGCAAACTCAGTCTACTGTCTAGGCCGCTTCATTCGGGCATCGGGGTTCGACTGCGTGGTCATGACTCTTGATTCGAAGTTTTAGGATCGGACCCATCCTCGCTGTCGGCCATCTAACAAAGGCGCCTTCATAATACTAGTTTGGGAGTTATTCCGATTCCTTATTATAAGCACAGCATAATGGGCCCCCAAAAAATATTGAAGTTATTAAGGCCCATAAATTACCTCGCATCTTTTCCCACATCCGCGAACCGCACAAACATTACACACCAGCGTACCTACCGATTCTTTGTCGACCGACATACTGCACCTACCTACATCTATTGGCAGGCATGCATGTGAAGCGTACCTACATTCGTGGGCAATTAAGTACGTTGTTTGCGCATGTACATATGTACGTATATATATATATATACACGGATGACCCACGTGGGTACAATGTAGGTATTTATGAGGCAGGCAGGCAGGTAGGTAGGTAGGTAGGTCGGTATGCATGTGAATACACATGAATTAATAAAAGTTTCAATCTATGACAGCAGCTAGACGAAAAAGAGCAGCATCAGCCTTACGGTAACGAAGATTGTGACAAGGAGCAGCAGCAAAGCCTAAGCATGCGTATGCCGGAAACGGCTGCTACGGTTCAAACAAAGTTCTCGAAAGGGCCGTTGCAGAGGGGGTTAGAGGGGTACTGTTGAGTTGATTATGACGAGGATGGTGCTGTTGGTCATGGGCAGGAGGAGCAGGGGGATCACGAGCATGAGGAGGAGGAAGGGGAGGAGGAGGGGAGGAGGAGGAGGAAGAGGGGCTGCGTGTGTTCATGGCTGATTTGCTGATGCTGCTCCATGTCGATCCGGCTTTTAAGTTTTGAGGGTGTTGACAAACTTCACTGTCGGTTGAAACACCCTAAACCCCAAAATCGTAAACCCTGCAGCCTTTCTGTTGCCCAAGTACTCCCCTACAGCCTAAGGCCCAAAGCCTAAGGCTCCAAATACTGTGCGCCCAGAGTAGCCCGTGAGTGGAAGAGTTCGGAAGGGTTTAGGGTTATCGGGATTTAGGGGTTTAGGGCTTGGGGCCCGGCTAAACCCTGAAACCTGCAAGCCGAACGCACACGAAACGCGAACTTCGAAAGCCGAGGCTGGTATTCAATCAAGGGTTTGGGGTACTTGGGTTATAAGTCCCCGAATGGGTTATAATTAGAGTTACCCTACGTATAACCCCACTTATACTTACCCATGAACCTCCAAGTAGGGTTTGCCACTAACCCTACACTCTAAACGTAAGGCCCAACCCTCCTGGCCTGTAGGCCTTTCTGACGGCCGCTCGGAGCAGCAGTTAGGAAAAAGGAGTCCAAAAAAAAAACGTAAGGCCCTCAATACCTAAACTGTCGTTGAGAGGTTAGGGGCCAAGGTTTCGGCGGCGGAACTCAGTTCGTCCCGCACCACGTCAAAGCATCCAATGCCAACTTCAGAAATCCGACGAACCCCCGAACCTGGGATCTGACTGGAAGCTCTTTTTATCTTTTTGCTTAGGGTTGAGGGTTCTTGTTGTGTGCTGGGGTTTAGGGGTTTAGGGGGACAGCAGGGAGCTGGAGAATGGTTGTGATCTCTGTTGAGTCCTTTTTTTCTCTGTCCCAAGCCTGTCGCAGGTAATGCCATGTCCAGGACGAAGCTCATGCAAATGAACGAAAGTCTCGAGGCGGGTCGCATGCACACCCTTCAAGCCTCCTTAGCAAGGATTATGAAAGGGATCCTAGTGTTCAGGGTTTGCAGAAAGCAAGAGTTCAGAAATCAGGAGACGACATTCAGGATCTCGATTCAGGTCTAGGGTGCCTTTACACCCCAGCCCCAAAGCCCTACATCCAAAATCCTCATCCCTAAGCCACAAAACCCTGGGCCGTAAACCCTAAACCCTGAGGCCTTAAACCCGAATCCTTAAAGTGAGATAGTAATGCCCTGAAACATGAAACGGGGCTTGAATAATTACCTACACAATTTTGGGTGGTTCCTTGTTATAGGTGTAGTATAATGGGCCCCAAAGCCCAATTCTAATTATTTAAGGCCACTATTGCTTATTAAAGGCCCCTATATAATAGAACCCTACTATAGATCCCTTATAGTATCTCTATAAGGGAACCCTTTGAAAGGCACCCTATTCTAAGTATCTAAGGCCCCTTTGTTAAAGTTACCCAGGCCCGCGAAATCCAGAACCGGTCGTCGGAGGAAAGTGGAGAAGGCCTCGGGGAGGATCTGTCGGCTCAGGGTTCCTCTTACCTTTGGTGAGTAGGGAATGGAAGAATGGTAGTAATCGTAGTTATAATTGTACTCCATTCCTCCATTCCCTGCTCACCAAGGGTAAGTTCCACAGTTTTTCGGGTTTCTGGGGAGGTCTCTAGGGATTTCTAGCGATTCTAGCAGTCTTTAGACTTCGGGGCTCAGAGTTCAGAGGCTTGCTTTTAGGTTCGGTGTGTTTGCAGGGTTCTTGGAAGAGTCCTGGTAGAAAGGGTTTCGTTCGTTGCACAGCTTTGCATGTTGTAGTTTTGCGTCGCACCATGCGTAGGAGTTTGTATGATCACGTACAGTCATCATGCTCTTTGGTTTCGCGACTTACTCTCAAGCCCGTTGAGCAAAAGAGTAGTTGCAGCTCGCTCATGGCTTAACGGTATGTCGTGTATTCTGTGCATGTTTCTTGTTTGCTCCGGATGCCGGTGGGACTTAGGCTTTAGGGTGTACCACGTGCCCCCAGTCTGGACTTGTCGCAACCAAGCCCCAAAAGGTGTCTTCGAGTGGATGGAGGAGGACGATTTCTACTTGGCCTCCGCGAACTATACCCAGGATGGGGGAAGCTAGCACTCGTTCTTTCCTTTAGAGAAATGTGTTCATGAGTCAGAAATCTGCATTATGTTCAAAGTTTGTTGTTCCATCTTCCCGAGTGGTGGCTTATGCTCACAGGCATCATAAACACAGCAATGGAAGAAGCATCGCAGATGAGAACAGGTGCAAGCAAATCACGGAACTGGAAGAAACAACCATATCTATAGCGGCATGTCGTCGTCGAAGTAGAAGTAGTCGTCGTCGTTGTTGTCGTTTGAGTCAATAATTTACACTCGTGTGGAGAAGAAACACATTTCAACAGTCCGGCCTGCATTGCCGGCCAGCAGTACAGGTAGAAACATGCTAGCACCAAAATTGAAATAGGCATATGTAGCAGCTAGCAGTTACCACGTGTTGAACGGGTAGTATCTCAAGCTCTGTCGCAATGCACTAGCCTAGCTACTGTCGTGATATTGGCTGCGCTTCTGGTAGTTGCCATGTTCGTGTCTAGCAGTCGGGCCTGTCAAACTATGGCACTTCCCGGTATAGAAAGCAATGACGAACGTTTTGATAATATAGGTGATAATTTACGACACGAGACAGCATTCACATGCAATGGCTGATAAAGATTCTAAGGGTGAGGGGAGGCAGCCGAGTAAGAACGTGAACAGCAAACCATTGAGATAATGCCAATCAGTTTAAAGGTCGAATTCAGACAGAGAGAGAGAGAGAGAGAGAGAGAGAGAGAGAGAGAGAGACAGAGAGACAGAGAGACAGAGAGACAGAAGGAGAGAGAGAGAGAGAGAAAGAGCAAGAGAAAGAGAAAGAGAAAGAGAAAGAGAACGAGAACGAGAAAGAGAAAGATAAAGAGAAAGAGAGAGAAACAACCAAAAAAACGTAGTAGCTGAGCGTACCATACTTGAAAAGGCTAACGCTAGGGTACTCAGCCCCAAAGGGGGGAGGGAAAGGGAGAGAGAAAGAGACAGAACAAAAGGACATTGTGGCATCCATTGGCGCAAATCAACCCTAAATGCAGAAGCTCTCGAACCTTAGCCGACCTCAAACAGTTAACCAGTTCCTAGAGCAGGAATTTGGCACTTGCTGCAAGATGGTACAACGGAAAGCCAAGATTTTGTGCAGGCTTCCAATCTTGACACTGCTTTGGGTGGCTTCTGAAGTCTCCAGGAGTTGTGGGTTCTGTCCCTTTTTGCAGGGATCTACCCAAATGTGGGATTTCCTTAGTAGGAGAATGTTTGCAGGTTACGGTCGCTTATCCGTTGGTCCTTCGCGCCATCTTGGCTTACAGGGGCGTTATTAACAACTGCTTATGCAACCAATAGACTGCTTTAAGCCGCCTGTACAACCCTGCAGACCGTTTTGCCGCTTAACAGGACTTGGGGATCAATATGACCTCAGAGCATCGCGGGACCGACGCCAAGAGACGCTTGAGTCTTGCCCAGACGGAGGCTGATGGAGCTCCTTGGATTTGAAATTATCAGGTGTCAAGTAGTATCCCCTTAGTAATTAGCTGTAGTTCCTGGGTATTTACACTACAGACTGTAGTGTATTATCCAGACCATTAACATGTGTACCAACACAGGTATGCACGAACTATATATGCACATACACACACACACACACCCGCGCACGCACGCATGCACGCCTTGTTTACACAGTGTGGTGTTCTTCCAGTAAGTATGGCTCAACAGCGCGAATGGCCGCCTCCCCGCAGTACCCGGTCCCTAAACACGTTCTTTCTGCGAGTACTGGTCCCTTATGTCCCTTAAACAAAGGTCAATACCCTGAACCGAAGTTCGTCACCTTGTCGGTGGGCTTGTGGCCGTCTTATACGGCATGGGGTTGGAGAAAAACACACAAGAGACTTCGGGAAAGGCTTTGAGAGCTCTTCGCCACAGTGCGATCACTAAACCCGAGTTTGTCACACGATGCTTACACGCGATTATACGTGTTTCACGACCAAAGCCTCAAACCGTAAAACCATCACATCTTTGCCTTAAACCAATCTCAAACCCAGGTTTTGACGCTCTTCAACTTCGTCCACCCAGGACTGGTGAGCTTCAATCTCCAGGCCGTGCAAGCTTCAGAGTCATGTTCTAGTTTTCGGAGACCCCCGGACCTACAGCTCATGGTCAAAGGGAACTCCAGAAAGTTGGAATATGGTTTCAGGGTAGGATACCCTCTAATTTACCATAAAGGGTTTAGGATAATCATATTCCAATTTTCTGGCTTTTGCTTTAAAGGTTGAGGCTTTTAAGGTTAGGGTTCAGAGTTTCTGGTCAAGGCTTAGGATACCTATTGGGTGCTACCTTGGGATCGTTCAGCGTTCCATATGAGCTCTACGCGGGTTCGATGAGGCTCTTGTTATGACAATGTTGTAAGTAAGCCATACTACGGAAATGTCAACTTAAAGAGAAAGAATAATGACGAGCACGACAGGTTAGACTTTCTTGGACCACAGGTGGGTAGCTGTCAAAGCCGTTGCCCTTCTATCTCAGTCTACCCGTAATACGGCATCCTATAGTTTTCGGTAATTTTTAAAAAAGGACCCTAGTTTTGACAACCATGGCTTACTGTATGTTACTACAACAGGGGCCCCCAACAGGACACAAGCATAAGCATGTTTCAAGGACATCCCTCCTTATTGGGCTCCATTATTATGTTTGGCTCTATGTAAGGATTTATCGGTTTTATATTTGACAGACTTCCGAGATTGGTTGGCGTCGCAGGGCGTTTCGGAGCCCATAGGACCCTTCTAGAACCGTCAAAGAAGCCTCATAACTTATAAGGTTAACTATAGCCGAAAATAGTGATAGTACTAAGAGCCCCAGCAGTAGTAATTGTGAGTATAGTATAGGTATTCTTGTACTACTTGTAAAAACCTCAGGCCCTTAATCTCCAAGTCTTAGAGTCCTAAACCCCAAAGCCTCAACCCTCAGAGGATCTCCTCTTACTGAGAGGGTCCCCTCGTATCAGCCTCATAGGCTCAGGGCACACATGCACACATACACACAGCTGGTCTCGCTTTGGGAGCAGTGCATTCTCATGAGCCTAAACCCGAAACCCCTACACCCTAAATCCTAAACCCTAAACCCTAAACCGGGGCTCTTAATCGGCTTCGCCTGGCATCGGTTTGAAACCAAGGGATCCCAGAGATCCCGGCTCCTCTTGAACGAACGAATTTGCCTTGCTTATTTGGAGGTTCATGGGTGTTAAAAAAGAATTCTTTTAAGCGTCCCTTCACAGGGATCTATAGGGATTCTAGAAAGATATAGGGTTCAGGGCTTACTTGGAGGGTCATGGATAGTTCTAAGTTCTAAGTCCCCTGATACGGGTTACAAGTCTAGTTACCCTACTTGTAACTCCACTTATAGCTACCCATGAACCTCCAAGCAGATGGCAGGAGGAGCGTTCAAGCAGTCTAAGGTACGTGTTGGGTTCTCGGGTTTATGCCTGAATATGCCTCGCAATGTAGAATGCTTCTTAATCTGACTTCGGGGAAATTCCGCGGTTCGGTGGTCTGGGGCTTTCTGGTGTGCAGGCTTAACGGTTAACACTAAGCCGGGGTGTATTGCTTGGAGACGCTTAAGTAGCACGAAGAGCAGTACCAGCAACAGTCACAGGGAGTGCCGATGCTTACAACCCTCAAACCTAAAGCCCTAAACCCTCAGCCCGAAGCGCTGACAAAGCTTGCACCCGATTTGGAAGGCTGTTTTGGACCATAACAGTTTCGAGATGCGCACGCAGATGGGCTTTGGACCCTTCTCCTCGGAGCAGAAAAAGATCCCCGGTATCAGGGTGTAGAGATGAGCGTTTAGGTTTTAGGGGCCTGGGCGGCCAGTAACTGCTATTCCTTGGTAGGGAGCCGTATTGCATATATAATGATACCCCGAACACGATTCTTACTGTTGAGGTCTTGGATGTGGGTGTGCGAAGATTTACAGTTGGAGATTTCTAGGGTTCAGGGTCGAGCTTACAGGGTTTATCGGGTTTAGGGTTTAGGGGTTCCAGGGTCTGTTGGTTTTCGAGTAGAAGTGTTTTCCAGCCCAGGATCAAGTTAGTGGACATTGCCAACCAGTTCGCGGTGGTGCTTCATGCTCCTTGCTTAACCAGTGGGAGAACTTAAGGTTTCTTGCGCTCGCCGTGTTTGAATGCCCTTAACCAAAAAATCCTTGGCCCTGGAACCCTAAACCTACTAAACCTAAATGGGAGTTTTCGAAAACAGGGGTCCCTAATATAGTACCTGAAATACTAGGATCCTTATGAAAGGACCCCAAAATAGGGTACCCTTGATTTTCAGAAACTCCCCACATTTCAAGACTTGAGGAGCCTCAGCTCTTGACATCTCTTGACCCTGGTGGAACCCGAAGTCTACATGCGGGAGTTTCCGAAAATTAGGGGTACCTTGTAGTGGGGTCCTTATAATAAAGATCCTACTATTTAGGGTATTATATCAGGGTCCCCTATTTTCGGAAACTCCTATGTCAAGACTTCAAAGCCCTGAACGGTTTAGGGTTTAGGGTACTTGACCCTAGTAGGCCCCAGTGGCCTCTAAGAGCACCCCATAGAATCCGTAAAACCCCTAAATCCTAAACCCTGTGTCGTTTTGCCGACCTTCAGGCCCTTCCTTGGCTGTCTGCGGCCTCCCGAAAAGAAGCCATCTATGCGCTCCAGAACCTGGGCTCTTGTGAAGGGAGTTCATTTATACTACCATAATTGAGGGTTCCTTTAAGGGTTCTATGAGGGTTCTTGTTGAGGGATTTCACTTACACTACCAGGACCATAATAATGAAACCATAGATGTTTTACTGTTGATGCCTAGAATGGTATCTTAAGCTAGAATCCTTGATGTAGGAACCTGATTAAGAAACCCTGGCCCTATAACCCCAATATAGTAGGGCTCATGTGAGGAGCCCTAAAAATGGCCCAAGGTTTCTTAATCAGGTTCCCACATTAGAGCTTAAGGGTACAGGAAGCTCCTTAAGGGATCTGCTCTCTTAAGTTCCCCATGTTACCCGACAAGTAGTGATACCTAGAATGGTAACTTAATTAAGTTACTAGGGTGCCCAGTACTACCGTCATTCCCTTTTTGTAGTCCTAGGTTCCGTATAAAGTGACCCAATACCAAAAAGAGAGCCTTTTTTGTTCCTAGGTTACTGGGCATCCTAGGTCAAGTTGCTTAGCAAAAACCTTAAACCCTAAACCCTAAACCCTTAGCAAGAATCCAGGCACTCGCGTCCGGACGTGCTGCCTACGACACTCAAGCCGGGTACTACAGTCGGAACCTTTGCCAGGCTACGATTCAGGGTTACTTTCAGGGTCCTAGAGTCCTAGAGTTCCTGAAAGGGGTCTATAAGGGTTGCTATAGGGCACCCGGCTTTTTTGTCAAGGGGTCCTAGGGTTTGTTTAAAGGGGTCTACAAGGGTTACATAGGGTGCACGGGTGTTTTAATGGGGGTCCTAGGGTTTGTTTAAAGGGGTCTATAAGGTTTGCTATAGGGTCCCCGGGTTTTTGTTTAAGGGTGTCCTAGGGTTCCTTTAACGGGGTCTATAAGGGTTACTGTGGGGTCCCCGTGGTTTTGTTTTAAGGGGTCCTATAGGGGTCCTTTAAGGGGTCTATACGGGTTACTAAGGGGGTCCAAGGGTTCATTTAAAGGGGTCTATAAGGGTTACTATAGGGTCCCCGTTTTTTTTGTAAAGGGGGTCCTAGGGTTCATTTAAAGGGGTCTAATAAGGGGTCCCCGGGTTGTTTAAAGGGGGTCCTAGGGTTCATTTAAAGGGGTCTAATAAGGGGTCCCCGGGTTGTTTAAAGGGGGTCCTAGGGTTCCTTTAAGGGGGTCTATAAGGGTTACTTTCGGGTCACAGGCTTTTTTGTGTAAAGGGGATCCTAGGGTTCTTTTAAAGGGGTCTATAAGGGTTAGTATAGGGTCCCCGTTTTGTTTAATGGGGGTCCTAGGGTTCCTTTAAGGGGGTCTATAAGGGTTGCTATATTGTCTTCGTTTTTTCTGTTTAAGGGGTTCGAGGGTTCCTTTAAAGGGGTCTATAAGGGTTACTATAGGGTCCCGGGGTGTTTTAAAGGGGGTCCTAGGGTTCCTTTAAAGGGGTGTATAAGGACTACTGTAAGGGACCTACAAGGGTATTATGATATAGGGGTTCTTGGTATAATAACTAACTGTGCTACCTTAGGATAGCGGCCTTAGTACTTGGGTTCCTTTAAGGGTGCCTTTTAAAGGGGTCTATAAGGATTACTATAAGGAGTATCATGGGGGCCTTAGTATAGGGGCGTTAATGGTTTCATAATTCATGAACTATTTTGGGGCTCCTTATTGTAACTAGAGTCTAATAATGGGCCCCCAAACCCTATTCTAGTTATAAATTAAGGCCCCTATATTACGGTGTAAGGGTTCAGGGCCGTTTGAGGTTTAGGGCTCGAAATATGGCTTTTGGGTAGAATTGCTACATAGGCTGTTGGAGTTTAGGGTCTAGGCGTATAAAGTTGCTCGAGTGAGGAAACCGTATGATGTCCTAGGATAACCGATTCAAAAGATGCTCTGATCCAGAACATCAGCCCAGGAATCCACAATCGTTTCTTCAGTCAGTACCTGAACATACACGGCAATCTGCAGGTGACTGAGCCGCCCTTGCACATATTGTTTGGTTTATCGTTTGTTTCATGTGGAGTTGCAGTTTGGACAAGCTTTTTTTATCCGGCTTGAAGTTCCTGTTTTGGGCACGCCGCCAAAATGGGACGAGAACCCAGGTCCATTCCAGCCACACATACCCTTTCGAGGGCGGCTACCCAGCGGGCAATATTTGGGAGCGGTTTACAGTCATTGACGCCGGCAATGGGGAGATTGCGCTGCACCATCAGAGGACCAACAGCTTCCTTGGTTGCAACGCTCACGGGCTCTACGGCATCTACGCTCCAGCAAGCCAGCTTCCTGCCGGGTGGCTGGACCAAAGGTTCGAAGTGGTGACAGGATCCAATGGCTACTTTGGACTTTGGAACCCCCACAGCAAAAATTTCGTGTCAGTCGGACACCACCATGCCACGTATATCTGGCACTCGCCGACGAAGGACCTCCCACCGGGTCATACCCACCAGCAATTCCGCGCCCACTTGGTCGAGCCCCTCTTGAAGCCAGGTACCATCGTGGCCTTGTACAATAACATCTTCCAGAAATACATGAGAATGAACCACGGCACCATGGAAGTTGGCGGCGTCAATCCTCACCCCACCCAGTTTTCTCATACTTGGCATGCGGAGCAGTTCATCGTGGTAGACGCCGGCAATGGTGACATCGCGCTTTTCAGTTGGCTCTACAATCGCTTCGTGATGATGGCACCCGGATACTCGGCCCTGTTTCAGAAACCCAGACCCTCCGTCTGTACGCCACCAGAACTAGAAGCTAGATTATATGCATACAGTACTTGTGGATTTAGGTACCACAGACTCCTACTGAGGGGAACAGGGACAGGAGGGCTTCGGAATATCTGTGTAAAGCGCTGTCTTTGAGAGCCCCCCAATACAGACCTAAGTAGTTGCTAGCATTATTCCGTAGGGTTCGTTACAGTGATTCTACGATAATATATAGATATAACCCTAAAGCAAAACCTAATTACTCTGACCATGAGGGCACCTCATATACTGCCAACCCTTTCAGAAGCTTATTATATAGACTCTTTTATTCCCCTATAAGAACCCTTTGCACAGATCCTATTCTTGTCGCTCTAGGCCCTATGCCTCAACCCTCTATGAACACTGAATCGCGAAATTTCCTAGCTCCGACAGGCAGCCAGAAGGGTTTAGGGTTTGTGCGGTTGAGGTTTCGGGAAGATTAGGGTACCTTATTTGGGGTCCTGACAATAAGAACCCTACTTATATTTAGTGTACTATATTAGGGTCCCCTATTTTCGAAGTCGTCAAACGGATCTTGATCATGTAGCGCAAGTTACATGCGCCTTCACTTTACGCAACACTTGATTTAACAATTCTTTCAAGCCTCCATCAATGTAAAGCCCCGAATGAAAGTTTATCAGCTCGTCAAGCCCTTGATTGAACGCTTGGCAACATCCCGTATGGCAACTCAGGCTCCCTAAAACCCTAAATCCCAAAAGAAAGCCGTATAGAAGCCTCAGGGAAGCCCGACAACCCTCAACCCTAATCATCCTAATCCTAACACTTCACAAACCCTCAAGCAACCAAACAAAACGACAAAACAGCAACGAGCACAAAAAGTAGCCTCAAGCCGCTTAAAGCCCCCCAATGCCCCCCGCCTCCCCCTAAACTCCTAAACCCCAAGCCCTAAACCCTAAACCCCTAAACCCCCAAACCTTAAACCCTAAGCCCTAAACCACAAACCTTAAACCCTAAACCCAACCCTAAACCGCTAAACCTTAAACCTTAAAAAACCCTAAACCTTAACCTTAAACCCTAAACCCCCTAAGCCCCCAACCCTGAACACAAAACCTTAAACCCTCAACCTTATACCTTAAAAAACCCTACAATGTATAAGCCTTAAACCCCAAAACCTTGAACCCTAAGCCCTAAACCTTAAAAAAACCTAAGCCCTAAACCCAAGAATCCCGACTCCCGAGATCACATGCAAGCCTCCGAAGTCCGATCGGGCAGCGATGATCTACCCGACTGGTGGACTCATGAAACTGGCCCGCACTTCGCCTTCGGGCCTCTTCGGTGTAGGGTTTAGGGGTTTGGGGTGTAGGGTTTATAGGGGCTCAGGGTGTAGGGTTTGTAGGGGTTTAGGGTGTAGGGTTTATCGGGGTTTATGGGGTTTATGGGTTTTGGGGTTTAGGGTTTGGGGGTTTAGGGTGTAGGGTTTATGGGGGTCAGGGGGGCTTATGGGTTTAGGGGTTTACGGTGTAGGGGCTTAGGGTTTATAGGGCTTATAGGGTTTAGGGTTTAGGGTGGTTTTATGAAACTGGCCGGCACCTGGGAGTTTCCGAAAATAAGGGACCCCAATGTAGTACCCTAAAGAGTAGGATCCGTGTTACATGGACCCCAAAATACGGTACCCCTAATTTTCGGAAACTCCCACTTCGCTTTAAGGCCTTTAGTCATAGGGACCCTTAGGGGGTAGGGGGTAGCGGGGTAGGGGGCCTTAATACCTATAATAAGGACTTGTAGTCCCCAACCCCCCTCCCCCCTACCCCCCTAAGGGTCCTTATGATTTAGGGTTGGGTGTCAAGAAAAGGCGCTTTCACCTCCGTCTTATGGTGTTTATCACGGATTTGTTGAGATTCTTAAAGGGCGTGTGCGCGTGTTTTTTACTGTTATGATGATTCTCAATCGCAATCGCATTCTTCCCACAGTCCCTCTCGGACCCCGGGCGGTCGAATCTATTGCGAATCCACTGACTTGCTCCCGATGTTCAGACCCTAAACCCTAATCATGACTTGTGCTCCTCTAAGCCCTAAACCCTGAACCCTAAACCCTTAATCCTAAACCGTGCGGGCTTTCATCCGAAGTCATGAGAACTCTAGCAGAACCACACAGCTCGGCTCTTCAAACTTCTGTCGTTGTAAGCTGTTTTGGAGCTTTTCCGAAGTTGGAACTGCAGTTGCGCGATAATGGGGTGGGTGTCCTGGGAGCCTCAACAGCGCTCCTGGCTCAGTGGTCCTTCGATATGGGAGCTTCCGAAAATAGGGGACCCTAAAAGAGGACCCTAAATAGTAGGATCCTTATTATAAGGACCCCCGAATAAGCTACCCCTAATTTTCGGAAGCTCCCATATGTGTAGTTTTGGAAGGTGCTCTCTCAATGTTTTGCTCTATGCTCATGCTGGGCTCCTCCAGGACTTTGAACGATGGCCTCTCCTGATTTGCTTCCGTGCTTTCTTCGAACACCATTAAGGAGTAGGTGTTTCGGCATCATAGGGTTTAGTGTTTTTCTTCAGGTTTCTAAGGTTTTATGTTTGGGCTGTCGGGTTGCGGGATTTGCCAGGTGGCGTTTGGGGAAACTTGGTCATCCATGCAACTACAGTACCTGTTCAATACCTAAATCCTAAACCAAGAACCCCAAACTCTGAACCATGGACCTCCTTGAACTCAGGAGAGGTTCCAAGTCGTACCTCTGGAGCATGGCTACTTGGTACAGCTTTGGGTCTTGGGATCCTTATATAACGGAATGGAATCTTCTGGGGTCTGCCCCCTCCCCTAAGGATGCTATCAGTGTGGCATCAGGAACCTGCACGCAGGGAGGCCGTTTGGCCATTTTACATTTTACCCTTCTTGGTCTTGTTGGAGAACCGGGTCCTGCTTATTGGTCTTGAATTGTCAGGACCCCTGAAATGCTCTAGAACGATTCTACGATCCGAACCTAACTAGGCAACAAGACGACTCGAGCCCACATCGACCTATACAGACTGCCAGGAGGGAACCCTAAGCCCAAAGCTAGTCGGGGACCATCTCACGGCTTCCTTTCATAGGAGGCCAAAAGGGATCTTAGCGTATGGGGGTTTAGTAGGGATTAGGGTTCCCATAATAGGGTTCATATTTAGGAATCCCTACCCCACGAATCTTAACCCCCCCTTTTGGCCTCCCATCATCCTTCTGGGGTTTACGCCTTCCCCGCAAGTCCCACGTGCTTTAGTGAACTTTGGTGGCATCGCTCAGTCGGCATGAGCAACAGTCATGAGTCATGAAGATCCCGTTCATCTAAGACAATGCACGGCACATGATGGTACACCAGCCTTGGAATATTTTTTTGCAGGACCTTGTTTGAGCCCCTTCAGGGCTGCAGGGGGTAGCCTGGCTACCTGCTGCAAGCTTTTCTTGAGATACCCGCGCCGTGAACCCTGAATGGATTCAAGCTTTCGACCGTTCAGTCACAGTCTAGATTGTGTGAACATATTACAATGGTTACTCTAAGCATACAGGTTACTCTAAGGGTCTAAGGGTTCTATAACTTGATAAGCAAAACCCTATTATGATTATTAAGGCCCCTACATTATAGAACACTTACTATAGAGATCCCTTACACACCCCTTTAGGAGATCCCTTTAAAGGAACCCTATTATAATTATTAAGGCCCCTATATTTAAGGTTTAGTGTTCAGTTCTCTTTTTGGTTTGGGATTTCTAAAGTTTAGGCTTCAGTTCTCTTTTTGCTTTGGGGTCTAGGGTTTAGGTGTCAGTTCTCGTTTTGCTTTGGGATTTATAAAGTTTAGGCTTCAGTTCTCTTTTTGCATTGGGGTAAGAATGGTTTAGTGTTCAGTTCTCTTTTTGTATGACCCAGGCTTGATCGCCTTGTGGAACGCGCATCACGGGAAGTTCATCGGCATGGGGGGCACACATTTGTACGTCAGCCCGCCAATGACCCCGCAGGACTTTCGGGGCGGGGGGGGGGGGGGGGGGGGATTACAGGATGGGTTTATGACGGTTTATTGCCTACAGCCGGAACGTCTAGGTGCCACAGCTTCAACGGTGTCGATGTCTAATATAGGGGAATGAATAAGTAGAATAGACAGGGCGTTTGGGCCCATTATACTGTAATTAAAATAATGAGCCCGCAATATAGAGGCCCCTATATTAAGCCTCGTGTCTTTGGGGTACTTAGGCCAGGCATTTTGTTTCGAGCGGAGATTCCGGCTTCGTTTGGCCTTTCGCTTTGGAATCTATCGGGCTCAAGGGTGGTCGGGGAGTTGAAGCCTGAATGATTAGGGTGGTAGTGTCGCAATTGGGTGTTCAACGAAGTCGGTCTCCGTGCAATAAACCAATCCACTGCTTGTCGTCCCCGACTGGGATGCTTCGTGTTTCTGCCGTTGCTACCTTCGCCGGTGTGTGTCCACTTATTGTGCTTTCTTACATGTGTATCTACATATACATATTATAGTGCACGCGTGTCTATATATGTATCCAAATGTGAAATATGCAACAACTGTCATTGTGAGTGCCAGAGCGTTTTTCGATTTTTCGATTTTTTCAAGACTTCAAAACGCATTTAACACAGCAAATATTGATCAGCAAACAACACACACACACACACACACTTGGAATGACCTTCGATACCAAAGTCACAACATTGGTTAAAGAGCTAGTTTCACTTCTTCGCTCAAATCTCTTCACCCACATGTCTTCAATCACATCTCTGCTCATCACTTCGGTCACTACGAATCTTGGGCGGCCATCTCTGCAGGTACACACTTGAGCGTCCCCTAGTGCTTCCAGTGATTTGCCGTAGTTTCGTGGCACAGGACAGGCAACTCAGCTCCTGTCCCCCTGCTGTTTTTACTCGGCATGCATGACTGGTCCCTTAGTCGCAGGGTAGTACGCACACAGCCGCCCCTGTCAAGGGGTAACACATTGCGAAACGAGCGGGTTGTTAGGTTAGAATAGATCATTGTTCGCAGCTGTGTTCTGGATGCTTTCAGTTCGCAAAAGCTTCTGATTCTTGAAAGTTCGCGTGCAGGATAACCTATGTTCAGATACTGTGTGCCATCTTGCTCCCTTTGAAGCTGTGGATGGGACCATCGTGATGCCAAGCAAACTCTGCTGTTGACTGCAGACATCCTCTGGCTTTCACTTCATGCAGCATGCATCGGATTGAACTGATGTTGCTCTTTCGGAATGATGAAAGCAAGACTCCGCCTAGCTTCATGCAACACCCAAAAACTCACCGGACTCAATTTTTTCAAGCTCTACAGGATACTGGTAGAAGTCAAGCTGGGGCAGTTCTAGGAGCCATGTGCAATGTTGGATGTGCTCTGAATACACCACCAACCGGTTGTCGACGTGTCGGCAAATGAAAAGCTGATCTGATCAGGATGTTGACGAAGTGAATGTTGGTTTGCTTCTCACCATTGTTGTTCCACAGAGCTGACAGTTATGTCAGTCAACACGGGGAGATTTCAGTACCTACTGCGCTACATCGCACCTGCTGAAACACCTGCTACGATTGAACGAAAAGCGAGGTTTGCAATGATAATGCACACAGCTTGAGGACGTGTTTGAGATTAGGACGCAAGGTTCGTGCGCGAAGTGATCGTTTGGACCCCCTGAAGATCCGAAGCTTCAAATCTTTCTTTTTGGGAAACACCGTGAAGACTATGCTGTCATCATCGTAGTGCAAGGGCTTGTAACATTCAACCATCCATCGAACGGCTGCTTCAATGCGCTCAGTTGGAATAGAGGAAACCAACAAGACCGTGGTTGGTCTGCAACAAAAGAGGTATAAGGCGCGTATGGCGAAGGTCAACTGAAGACGAAAGAACATTCCGGGCATTGGGGCCCATTGCTACATGAATTTAGAAGGACATCTGTCATCCTCGCCATCACCACGAAAGCGCTGCAACGAAACAATCTGGCAAAAGGAAAGGGTCTGTAGTTGATGATGGGGCGATCGACAAGGAACTCCCTTTTAAACTTGATCAGAATGTACGAGGTAGGGACATCAGCTTTTGGTAAATTTTTGAGCGAGATGACGTAGTGCTGCGCTGGGAGTCATGCTACGTTTGTTGGAGACTTTCGGGTCACCAAATGTTGGCTTCAGGACATCGACGGTGCAGCACAGGACAGAAAACATGCATGTGATAAGCAACATGATCTCTCCATTGAACAACAAGCTCTTGTTTCAACTGACCAAGGAAGCAAACGTCTTCCGTTGACATAGGAACCCGTGCAAGGTAATGATGCTGTGTCCATTGTTGACGTAGACATAGAAAGTCACGCCATTGCAAATACGTGATGCCTCCAATCTTGTAATGCTGTGGCCGCCTGTGAGCAGCAATCCAGGTCATCTTAGAAGGTTCTTTAAAGTCTGCGTCACGAGACAGCTAAAACCGCAACCGACGAGAAACCTGCAAGAACTGGGCTTCCGAAGCAACATGATCAATGCCATCAGGATGTTTCGAAGTAACTGCGCACAAAGACACTCGGGACGCTGATGCCAAGAATAGAACTCTTCATCCTCTTGAAATCAGAACAGGCCACGGTGGGAACTTGCGAGCAATGACAGCAAATTACAACTGGAAGATGAAATGGGTTGAGGAAACCTTCGCGATCTGACAATGTACGAAGCCAAGTGTGAACTCTTGCAAAGAACGGATGTGCGAGCGCTGGAAGAACCACGGATATTTGACAGGCAGCATCGCACCTTTGAGTTTCACGGCGGTCTTGAGTAGCCCTCGAACCTTCGACGTCGGTAGATATTACAGATTGTTGGCAAGTCGAAGCAATGCAAAAAGCTGATCCACGGAATACTGTGCACTTCTGAGTGATCTGGCAGTGCTGAATGACTGTGGAGACTTCTCAGCAAGCTTGAACAAAACTGTCCATTACTGGCCATCTCTGAGGTGTTGTGCTTGTGAAAAGCCTTGTACCAGGTGTACCGTACTTGGGTGGGCAGTGTGTGTAGCATGCAACGTGGCGATGTTGATGACATTGTCTTTCTAGGCATCAATCGAATGATGAATGGAAAGCTGAGTAGTGGTGTCCATCTCTGAATAAGGTTTGCTTCCGTTGCCTTGACTTCGGTAGCAGAACGACACTGTAGCAATGGAATTCAAGGGAACGATGTGCATTGATGTAATCTCGAATGTGAAACCAATGTAATGCAAGTTCGCAAGACATTGGCTGGAATAGCTGTAATGGCTTCAGTTTGCGAAGTCTTGCAGCCTGTCGTAGTGGCATGTACACATTGTACGTCCCAGCAAGGAAGTCTGCTGTGGGCTTTTCAAGCTGCGACAGCATTGCGTCAGAGTCGTGCGGACTGCAACAGATGATGTAGTCACTTCTATTTGTACTCTCAGCAGGTGAGAGGACGGAGATCGAGACCTGGATCTGACGCGTGGATTCTCCACATGAGCCTGTGGCCTTCCGCATGCGTTCGTGCATCGGATGTGCTCCAGCGGTTTTTGCACTTGCGGCGCATTTAGCCGCTGCAGGATCTGGATGGGCCGTGAGAGGTGGAGGAAGAGGAGGAGCAAGGGAGGAAGGGAAAACAGGAGCAGGGCGGAGGAGGAAATGGATGAGGTGGTGGGGGAGGGGGAGGCTTGGCATCTGTGGCTCTTGTCGACAAACCTGGATCAACATGACCATGCAAAAACCATGTGAGAGTGCGCGTCGGCAGAGATGAATCGGTCGTTGAACGATCTGTGAGCCCCGAGCTGGATGTAGATGTGGTGAAGTGACGTTCAATGATAACGTCCGCATCCCCAGCGATCTGACGAGCCAACCGATCTCTAAGTGCCCTTCGTCCTTGATGATCATGTAGAATGAGACGGAGCTGAATGCGTCTCTCCGGACTGATGGCGTCGATGAGGCTGTCGATCTCTGTTGGACGACATGAGGCCGAATCCTCGCCCCTATATGCAATGTAGCAGAAGTTTACAACGCTTTGGTGATGTCGACGTTGCTCGCCTTCAGAATTTTCGCAAACCGGTGAAGAACTGTGTTGTCCTTCATGAACTCCTTTGTCACGCCTTCGGTGAGCTTGGAAGTGTGTTTCAACACGTCTTGGTGTTAGATGGCACCAACATAGAGAACAGATCTGCGACTCTCTCATGGTGTCCCTTGAAAGTTCATTGCTTCTGCGTCCATGTGACGCGCGAGGCGATAGTCTGCTGTTGCTACACTGCGTCATTCCTACCCTGGGGTTGTGGATTGGGTGCTGGTATGGTGAATTTCACAGGCGATCGTGGTGGAGGTGGAGGTGCAGTGACAAAGGTCTGTGAAGTGGAGAGTGAGTGCGTGTGGACAGCCGGTTGCTATAGCGTTGCAGGTGGGATGTGGTGTCGATTCTGATCTGGCCTTGTGTGGGTGGTGAAGTGATAGGGATTGTTTGCGGGGGTCGCGGGGAAGGGGGGAGGTGGCCGTAAATTCTGCTGTGGGGGGGGTGCTGCAAGGCTTGGTTGTGAAATGGAGGATTGCGGTGGTCTTGGCAGTGAGGCTTGGGGGCTCATGTTGATAGGGTGCAGCGGTGTAATCCGTGTTGCGATGGAACAGCAACAGTTCCTGCCTCCACCTCAGGGAGGTTTGGTCTCACCACATTGGAATTTTATCGAAATTCATCATTGAAAGCACTCGTGCTGGAGACATCATTGGTGCTGGGATCGAAGTGGAACGATGTGCTCGACGCTCTCCTAAGCATGCTAGCATCAGCAATCTGCTCACTTGCAATCAGACTGCATGACTGCATGATGCTAGTCGTTCAATCATCAGCTAACGGTTCTCAGCAAGCTGCATGATATGTTTTGAAGTTGCACAAGAAGCTCTTTGGCTCATGTCACCCTGAGTAGGTTTGTACTCATACTTTTGAGGACTACCGTCTCTAGTTGAGGTGGGCACACCCTTCGCATATGTTGCCTGCGGTAGTCGTCACGACGGATGATCTGCAGCCGAACACGTTGGCTACTGGATGCTAAGCCTACAGTTGAGACAGTTGAGATGATAAGCCCGAAAGCTGCAGACGCTCTGCGCGTTCCAACATGAACTGCCAAACTGCGCTCCACACATTCCAACATGAGTAAATCCATTCTGTCAAAAATTACCGAAACTATGACTCAGAGAGGCGTGATCTTGAATAATGTCGCCCTCGGTCAGATCTGGGCGTTCGGTCCAAGCGAGGTGAGAAGGTTTTTTGTTTGGGTCTCACCTGTTCTGCACGAGGTGGCGGATGCACTTGCGTCATTGTGATTGGCACCGATACTTTTCTTTGGTGGCACCGGGCCATCTTGCTCCAGTGGCATCGAATTGAAAAACAACTGGAAGCACAGAAAAGATCTCATGGCACTGAAGATGCTGGGACAAGCTTGATCGCAAGATGTATTTTGTTTATGAAACCAGCATACTCCACGTATCCTAAGACGTTGCTTGACACGAGTTGTATAGTTGACGCGCACACTTCGGGCATACTAAGACACATTCCTGGGCACAAGTTGTTGAGTAGGCGAATTCATTGCTGTTCGCAAGTTGTATGGTATTAGATGTTTCCAGGCCCCTTAGATCCGGCGCCAACTTGTGGAATTTCTCGAAATTTTGGTTTGGTTTGGTGGGCGTATCCCGCATGCCGCCGCTTGTGCACAGCCTGCACAACAGGATACATGCATGTGTGTGTGTGTGTGTGTATATGCAATGCAAGAGGGCACTGCGGCAGCCCAATGTCCAGCACTGGCGCAGGCGTTTCCGCCTTTGAGCGTGTGTATAGTAAGTGTATGTGACTCTCTCTGTATGTGTACGAGTATGTTGTATACTGTCTACACATACGTTTATATATATAATGTGGCGGTCGGATTAATAGTGGGGTACCCCCCCCCCCCCCCCGACCAAAAAAAAAATTCTCTTTAATTTGGAACCGGTAGCCCCGGACAGGGGTCAGGGGTCGGTCTGAGTGGCAGGGAATTGGGAGGTGCCGGGGTTTGGGGGCTGGCTTGGGTGCAGGGTCTGCGGTTCTGCGCGACTGCGCGGTCGGGGGTCGGGGGGGTCTGGGCCAGCGCCTGAAAAACCCTGAACCCTAAACCCTAACGAATCCTAAACTCCTAGACCCTATAACAAACCCTAAACCCTAAGCCCTAAACCCTTCCAAAGGGGGGTCGGTCCAGATTCGACCCAAAACTTAATTTTTTATACAAACTTTAGTACTGGAGAGGCCTCTTTTGAGCTAGGGTCCAATCCCCGATTCGGCGGTTCACCCTAGCAGCCCCCCCCAATAATCAAGGTATAGTAGAATAGTAGTACAGTAGTAGTACAGTAGTAGTATAATAATAATGCAGTAGTACAATAGTAATACAACAGTAGTACAGTGGTAGTACAATAGTAGTACAGTATTAGTACAATAATAATACAGTAGTACAATAGTAGCACAATAGTAGTACAGTAGTAGTACAGCAGTAGTACGATTATAGTACCGTAGTACAATAATAGTAAAGTAGTAGTACAGTAGTAGTACAATAATAGTGCAGTAGTACAATAGTAATACAACAGTAGTACAGTGGTAGTACAATAGTAGTACAGTAGTAGTACGATAACAGTACAGTAGTACAATAGTAGTACAGTAATCGTACAGTAGTAGTACGATAGTAGTACAGTAGTACACTAGTAGTACAGTAGTAGTACCACAGTAGTACAGTAGTACAGTAGTAATACAGTAATAGTACAGAAATAGTACCAATAAGCAAAGCATAAAGCCAGTGAGTACATTCCCCCAATAAGCAAAGCATAAAGCCAGCGCCTGAAACCTTAAACCCCGAACCCTAAACCCTAAAGAATCCTACACTCCTAAACCCTATAACAAACCCTGAACCCTAAGCCCTAAACCCTTCCAAAGGGGGGTCGGTCCAGATTCGACCCAAAACTTAATTTTTTATACAAACTTTAGTACTGGAGAGGCCTCTTTTGAGCTAGGGTCCAATCCCCGATTCGGAGGTTCACCCTAGCAGCCCCCCCAATAATCAAGGTACAATAGTAGCACAATAGTAGTACAGTGGTAGTACAGCAGTAGTACGATTATAGTACCGTAGTACAATAATAGTACAGTAGTAGTACAGTAGTAGTACAATAATAGTGCAGTAGTACAATAGTAATACAACAGTAGTACAGTGGTAGTACAATAGTAGTACAGTAGTAGTACGATAACAGTGCAGTAGTACAATAGTAGTACAGTAATCGTACAGTAGTAGTACAATAGTAGTACAGTAGTACACTAGTAGTACAGTAGTAGTACCACAGTAGTACAGTAGTACAGTAGTAATACAGTAATAGTACAGAAATAGTACCAATATGCAAAGCATAAAGCCAGTGAGTACATTCCCCCAATAAGCAAAGCATAAAGCCAGCGCCTGAAACCCTAAACCCCGAACCCTAAACCCTAAAGAATCCTACACTCCTAAACCCTATAACAAACCCTAAACCCGAAGCCCTAAACCCTTCCAAAGGGGGGTCGGTCCAGATTCGACCCCAAACTTAATTTTTTATACAAACTTTAGTACTGGAGAGGCCTCTTTTGAGCTAGGGTCCAATCCCCGATTCGGCGGTTCACCCTAGCAGCCCCCCCCAAAAATCAAGGTATAGTAGAATAGTAGTACAGTAGTAGTACAGTAGTAGTACAGATTTTCATTCCTGACGCCCCAATAAGCGAAACAATTCTGCAAGAGATTTTCGGGCTTCAGGGCCAGGGTTTTAGGGTTGGGTGGGGTTTTGGGTGGGGGTTTAGGTCGTGGCTGCCTTAAGATTGACCATCAGCAAATAGCACAGCCCCGCCACCAAAAAATCACCCCAGCCAAAAAAAAAACGCATTAATTAGAACACCCAAATTTTTTGTCAGATTCGGAATTAGCCCCGGAGCCGACGCATTAAAAGAGCCTATATTCCTAAACCGACCCCCACATTATATATATATATATATATATATATTTATATTTATATATATATATATATATATATATATATATTTATATTTTCCCTCTCCCGCTCCCGCTGTATCCCTACGTATCCGCATAAAACCTGGCTGCTAGCTCTTCAGCCTGAAATGTTTGTGTCTTAGCCGCAGGCATTCCCAGGCAGATGGACACATCAGCAACTCTATACTGTCTACACATACGTTTATATATATATATATATATATATATATATACATACATGTCGTTTTCCCTCTCCCTTTCCCGCTGTATCCCTACTTATCCACATAGAACCTGGCTGTTAGCTCTTCGGCCTGAAATGTTTGTGTCTTGGCCGCAGGGAATGCCAGGCAGCTGGACACATCAGCAATTCCAAGTCGTCGACATCAGCCATTTGCATGTGACTCGGGAATTATGTGGACAAAATTCGAAAGTAAAGAGTTTCACAACTACTGATCTTAGTAAAACCGCTTCCGACCCCTACAGTAACATCTTTGGTTTTCCTCATGGTTTTGAGCGCTTTCACACGCATTCTAAGCTTGCTTCATCCTATAAGCCCCAGACAGCCCTACCCTCCACCTTTCACCCCAAACTCTAGCCTCCCGACCATGTAGCATGGCATTTTCTTAACAAAGAACAAGGCCGCCGACGGCGTCGACCCACACGTTCCGGACGGTTGGACCTTCCATGGCATGCGGTGACTTGGCGGTTATTGAAATTGATTGTTGCCTTGTTTCTGTATGTTTAGGGTAGGGATCATGCCAAGAAGATCACCAGTTGGAATTCCTAGAAAAGCCCAGGTGAGGGAACGACGAGTTCAGAGAAGTGGCACAAGTTCCCAGTGGAATCCGTCTCCGCCTGGTGTCCGGCCGCGAGCACTAGAGCTCTGCGGGCCTACTTAAACTTATCATTTTCGCAGGCGAGATTACTGTGCCCACCTACTTCGACAAACATTCCGAGGTCAAAAAGAGTCAGAAGTGCTGCCTGCTTCTTCAACATGGTTTAGGGGTTTCGAGTTTAGGTTTGTAGGGTTTAGCACTCAAGGGCTTTAGGGTTTAGGGCTTAAGGCTGGTATCGTTGAAATTTTAGGGTTACGGCTGTCGCTACCGGCGGTCGGGTTTGGGATCAAGCCTAAACCTCAACCTCCGACGAAAGGCAACATACTCGATTCTTTTCGTATCTGCCCCTGTGCACGATGCCCCAAGTTGCGATCACGAGGTATTTGGCCCATAAGAGCAGCAATGAGCAACACTATCCACAGGACATGTAAGGCGAACCCGAACATGCAGACTGTTTGTTTGTATATGTTGGTTGCTCTCAACCTGAAACTCTTGTAGACGCACTGCTCGTGGTTGTCGCCGTAGGATGTGTGACCCGACAAACATTCCTTGCAAAGGCTGTGGCTATCAGCTACTCGGCCTTCCAGAGACACTCTAATGTGGAACTCTCTACGCCGTAAACCCTGAAGCTGTCCTATGCAAACTCGTGCCTCAGCCGTCGCCTATCATCCAAGAGCCAGATCCAGAAACCCGAAGCCGAACCCTAAACCCCAAACTCAGGCTTTCAGTTTTAGTGGCTTAGGGTGCAGGCCCGCAAAACCCCAAGGGCAGGCACTCAATCCAGAGCCACTGCGAGGCGCAGATTGGTTGCCTGAACTTGTCGGACAGCGCGATGTGAAAAGCTGGGTCCGCGTGTCTGTCCGGATGCTTTGAGAGCCGGTGCAATATAGTGGCCTTGATAATTAGAATAGGGCTTTGGGGTATATTACACCTAAAGTTGCAACAAGGAGGCCCCAGAAAAGTAGCCCCTATAGTCTATAATTACCAGCCAGGCGACTAGACCGAAATACAGAATCTCAATTGTCGCTAACCCCCGCATGTATTAAAAGCCCCAATTGATTAGGCTATGCTGCAAATCTGTGTACCACACCCCTTTTCTCAAGCCCTATAAACACTGAATCCGGAGAAGTCTTCCTTGTGAGGTTTCGTGAAGTAGTATGATTTGCTTTTGGGTGCCTGAGCAACATCTACAAAATAGGCAAGTTTAAGTGAGATGGGATTTTAGGGTGCAGCCCGGAACCGCCATCCGCGATACCCTAGCCCAAAAGCTGTCGCTGATCGGTAAGGATGAGCTTTAATTGGCAAATACAATTGACGTTGGCCTTTGTGTGCTTCCTAGCCAGACGAAGAAGCTGGCAATTGTAACTAGGGAGATGTCGTATAAACCGAAGATCTTGCAGCATGCGCTGGGCTTGCCCGGAAAGCCCAGCATAGTATCCAACGGCAGACGAAGACACAGAAATCAGTAACATCCCCTCCGCAGCCTCCTGCAACATCAACAGTAACAGCAACAATGTCATTCACACGAGCAACAGCAGCAGCAACAACAACCACATCATGGCCGCCGCCGAAGCCGCCGCAACTACTAAGAACAGCAGCAACAGCCGCAACAACAAAGCCGCAAATGCAGCAAACGCAGGTGCAACAGGCAGCCACGGCAAAAGAGGTAGCATCATCATCAACAACATAGCGGCAGCAGCAGCGCCACCACCTCCGTCAACGACAGCAACAAAAGCAAAACGAACCAGAACCACCATCCTTTTTTGCGGGGCTTCCAACATAGAAGGTTACGTGACTTTGTCGTCGGGTCTTGAGTGCCACGGTGGGTATGACATTGTGTATGATATTCTGCAAGGCGCCCCCCCGGATTCACGTTATCTAGTTCTCTTATCTTCGGGTGGTTTGGTTTCTGCCGGCCGACGGCAGTTTGTTGAATGTTGCGCGGTAACTTTTGACGAGTATGGGCTGCGGCTGAGGCCTCAGCATTTTCAAAAGCCTTCCTCATAGTAGCTATCGTATGGCAGCCACAAATAGCTGTTCTAGTTACGAAGGCCCCATATCTTGGCAACAGCTGCGAACCAGTTGTCTGCAGAATTTGTCATCGGATGCTTTCCCCTCTCACGGTGTTGTCGCAAGCATTTTGCAGTGGGGGTATCCTGAGGTAATCTCACTTGAAATACACTTGCTTCGCGGAAGGGCTACCCATCCACACATGTGCACGCATGCAGCGCCCTGAACCCTAAACTGTAAACCTTCTAATCTTTGCAGCCTTCTCCCGAAGCCGTGTACACCAGATCCGGACAATGTTGCATACTTGTTTCCTGCCCACACGCCATCAAGAACCCCAGCGACAGCTCCTTCTATGAGTCATGCCACACCCTAGACACCACATTTCTCATGGCGCTTCGCGTGACGCCTCTGGGTGCAGCCCAGCAAGTTGGCCGCTGGGCGGAGAGGTGTTCATGTTCCCAAATAGTCTGTACGTTGGCCTTACAGTAGTCCCTATATAGGTACATCGGGGCCAATGTATATACTATTCAGGTACGTGGACCATGCAAGTCAAGGAGTCTCAGGCTGTTGTCAGCGCTCGTTGTGCCGTGCGTTGCACATTGCAGCTTCGCTGTAAGGCTTCCTGTGCTAGTGTGTCTTGTGGCAGCATTAAAAGCATGTTTACATTCGTCCGTATGTTTACGAATATATGAACGACTGGCTGAATTAATGAAGGAATGATCTGACTGAGTGAATGAACCAAAGACTCACCAATGAATGAATGAATGAATGAACGAATGAATGAACGAATGAATGAATGAATGAAATGAATGAATGAATGAATGAAATGAATGAATGAATGGATGGATGGATGGAATGAATGAATGAATGAATGAAATGAATGAAATGAATGAATGAATGAATGAATGAATGAAATGAATGTATGACTGAATGAATGAATGAATGAAATGAAATGAAATGAAATGAATGCATGCATGCATGCATGAATGAATGAATGAATGGAATGAATGGAATGAATGGATGAATGAATGAATGAATGAATGAACGGATGGAAGGATGAAGTGACGAAGGAATGGAGGAACGAAGAAACAACTAAACGAACGAATGAAAGAACGAAGCAAGGAATGCATCCATCAATCAACCAGCCAAACAATCATTCCGTGGATGGATGAAGGAAGGAATGAAGGCAGTAAATGCAGAACATGAAGGACATGTCATGAAATGACGCTTGACTGGCAACCTAGCAAAGCCGTACAACACCGAAGTCCTAGGCCCTACGACACCGTGCGACCACCGAATGAATGGAGGCACAACTGAGTGGAGTCAAACGACGGGAAATGAGTTGAAATCAATGAATGAATGCATGCATGAATGCATGGACGAGATAGATGGATTGATGGATGAATAGCTACGTGCGTGAATGAAACGCTGCACGAAGCGAAATGAATGAAGCGAATGACATGAACTGAACGAGATGAGGGAACGCATGCATGTTTGTTGGGTTGTAATTATGCAGGTATGTCGGTATGTATGTATGTATGTATGTATGTACGTATGTACGGGGGGTCTGTACGTATATATGGATAGAGGGATCTATGCATGTATGTTTGTATGAGCGTCTGTACGAACGTATGGCTTGTATGTATGTATACTACATACACATAGACATAGATGTTGTTTGCGCGCGCTGCCTGCACATGTATACCAACATGTCCATGACCATGTATGCAAGCATGGCTGTGAGCGCCTGCAGAAAGGTGAACTTCTACTGAATAATTACGCTCTGTGTCTATATAAAGCAAATGCATAGACGCTACTTTTGCATGTAGGTGTATATATACATACATATATACGCATAGTATATATGCACATTTATATATACACACATGTATAACATGCATGCCGAGGCACGAGGCACCCCTAAGCCCTAAAGCTGTCGCTCCGTAGACTTCGGGCCTGGTGCTTTCGCAGTTGAATAGAACCGGGTTCCTTTAAAGGTATCCTTAAAGGGGTCCGTGGGGAATCCGTAGTAGGGTTCGAAATAGGGGCGCCTTAATACTTAGAATAGGGTTTGGGTGGTATATTATGCTATAATTCCAAAAAGGAACCCCTGGGGTGGAGGGCTCAGTGTTCCGGTTCTGGGCCAATGGGAATTGCATCTAGGCTGTAACCTCAAAGCTCCAGTCCAGCCCTAACCCCCTAAAGCCCCTAAACCCCTAAACCCCAAACACTCACCCTCGTCCTCATCCTAATCCTCATCCTCATCCCCCTTCTCCTCATCCTCATCCTCATCATCCCCATCATCCGTCTCCCCCTTAAACCCCAAGGCCCTTATAAAACCCTAAAGCCCAGAAACCTCCAGCTCCAGCCCCGACATCCGACCGCCAAATTCCGAAGGCCCGATTGAGCACCAGAGAGCAGATCCCTTAAGGAGCTTCCCATACAGTACCCTTACCTAGACCCTCAAACGTAAGTAAAATGATGGCCCAACACCTATAAAAGGCTATTAGTCTACATACTTTTGGGGTCCAGGCAAGGTCTACATGTAGGAACCTGATTAAGAAACCTTGGGCGTTTCTTAGGGTTCCTTATCTGAGCCTTACTGTTAAGGGTTAAGGGTTCAGGAGTTCTTAAGTAGCCAGGGACCCAAATCAGGGGTTCTACTTTTCTGGATCCTCCCATCCCGGGGCTCTGGGCAACCCCCAACGCGCCAACCGAAAGGACAGGCGCATCTAAGCCGAAATGGGTAGTTGTCAAAATTAAGGTGAAATTTTGGGTACCCTGGTGCCGTATTATAATAGGGACCCAAAAAGGGACCCTGAATTAGAGAACTACTCAAATGCATCAACCACATCCCTGAGCCCTAAATCCTAAGCCTAATAAACCACTGCAGTCCCTCAAGCTGCTCAAACACCCCCCCAGGCCCTAAACCCTGAACCACGTCCAGGCCGAAGTTGCATCCTTCTGGAGATTGGAGGTGCTTTTGGGGTTGGGACAGGTTTAATTTAAGGCTTACGGCTCAGGGAAAATCAGTAAACCCGTCACAGTCATCAACATGATGTTACATGGGTATACAAAAAGCCTTCCCCAATCCCAGCTCTGATTATTCCCGCATAGTACGGGTCAAGTTTGGAGATTCCAGATAAGGATTTACGGTTTTGTCTTCAGGCTTTCGGGTTCAAGCTTCGGCGGGTTCTCGATAGTGGGCCTGCGGTTCGGGATTCAGCTAAAGGGAACTCCAGAAAGTTGGAATATGGTTTCAGGGTAGGATACCTTGTAATTTACCATAAAGGGTTTAGGAAAATCATATTCCAACTTTCTGGCTTTTACCTTAGCATGCATGAACAAGACCAGTTCTTAAGACTCAGAGCCGCTCTTCTCCTTTACCTAGAGGCTCATACCCTACCCCTTTTTTAGGATACCTAGTTTTATGGTTAGGATCTGTTATCTTAAAAAGTAGGCGCCCTAAAGAAGGGGTAGGGTATGATCCTCTAGGTATGGCGTAGTTACACAACGCACAGCCCTCGGAGGCGGCAGTGTAGCAGGACAGTTGGGGTTGAAATGTTTGGGCTTTAAGGATTTATTAGGGTTAAGGGGTTTAGGGTTTAGGGTGATTGTTTAGGGTTAAGGGGGTTTCTTGGAGTACCTAAACAGCTGGACCAGCTCCTGGAAAGCACCAGGGGCCTTGGAATGCTGAGTCATTGGCGGTACTGCTGTCTGCGCGCCTGCAGCGTTCATATGATATCATAATATATTGCATTTGATTTATTGAGTTTCAGTCATTTATTTACTTTCCTTTGATTTTGAAACCGTATTCAAGGATACCCCAAAACTCCATTCCAAATATTGAGGCTCCTCAACCCTTATGGAGCCTTCTACAAGCCCTATCGAGGATAATGCGACCCTTACAGAAGCCCTATCCCTAGCGTTACAGCCCATCCATGATGGGTTCATCATTATCACCATACCAACATATGGGACTATGGGAGTTCCCGAAAATAGGGAACCCTAATATAGTAGCCTAAATAGTAGGATCCTTATTCTAAGGACCCCCAAAATAAGGTATCCCCTAATTTTCGGAATCTCCCATGCCCCAAACTCTTCTTCTAGCTATAGAGGCTCCTACTTCGGGGCTTTCGGGGCTTACCTGATGGGTTAGACTCGCGGCAGAGGACGGAATGTCCTCTTGGACTGCGGAGTGGCAGCTCATTCGCCGGTGGCTCAGTTTCTTTCTGGAAGTATACCCCTATAAACCCTAAACCATACGCTTTGAGGGGTTTAGGGTTTAGGGTTTCGGCCTAGGGGATTTAGGATTTAGGGTTTAGGTTTGATACGTTTTGGGGTATAAGGTTTAAGCGCTCAGAGTTTGGGACTAGAAGTTTGAAGTTTGAGGCTTGGTGCTCCGGTGAGCACAGGGCCTAACCAAGGTCTATACTAAGGGTCTACCACAACTCCAAGTACCCTTTCATAGAGCCCTTGTGGTCCTTAATAGTGGGCGCTTAAGGTATATTAGAGGGTAGTTGGCGGGTCTAGATAGGGTTCAACGTCTGGCATCTAATATAGGCGCCGGAATAATTAAAATAGGGATTTTGGGGTCCATTATACTATAGTTAGAATAAGGAACCCCCCAAAATAGTATAGGTAATTCTTTACGGCCCGTATATTCGAGTTGGGCATTGGGCGGGCGGAGACCGAGTCTGAAAAGACCCGGAAGCCTGGCTTAGCAGTGACCCAGAGCCCGAAGGCGCGGAATTTGCACTTGGTTAGGGCCTTGATAATTAGGTGATAGGGTTATTTTAAAGGGTTCCTTTAAGGGAAACAAAAAGGGCTACAACAAGGGTGTAATGTAAGGGCCTCCATACTTAGATTGGGGTTTTGGTGTTACTTATTATGAATTTGGGATAACGTACCCCAAACACTATTCAAATTATTAAGGCCCCTACATCACATTCCCCCCCCCACCCATCGCCTCGAGTCTACTTCACCCTACCTTATCCTAAACCCGAAACTTCGAGCTTACACCCACGACCTTCAACCCTTACTTGGAGGTTTAGGGGTAGTTAGTTATAAGGGGTTATAAGTAGCTACTTATAACTTATAACCCATATTAAGGGACTTATAACCCCACGTATAACTGCCCATGAACCTCCAACTAGGGCACCGGAAACAACCTTGGGCCGGGTTCAAGGAGTAATTAAGTTTGAAGAAACTCCAGGGCACTCGTGAGGTCTCCTTGATAAAGACCTCTGAAGTATGAGCAGCATTTTTCCTGAATGCACCCCCCAAATAAAACCCAGTTTGGCTGCAACGTTTCCTGCATTACCTGGGTCCGCTGCAAGAACCCAACACCTTGTGATGTGCTGGAGTTTGGGGGAGAGGGAGGTTAAGGGATTGGGGGGTCTTACGGTAGGGGGTTGAGTAAGGTTCGCTCATCGGATAACTACAGAAACAGGGGCTGTAGAAAAGTGTCGCTATTGATAAGTCAAGTACAGGTTATGGTAACTTAGACAAAAAAACCCTTAACAAGCACCGGTAATTCGGAGCGCTAGCGAGATATTTGGTTCAGGGTTCGCGTCAAGGGTACTTCGTCGTCCAGTTCTGGATGTTTAGGGAGGTGCCAATTTTGCTGCAAACGTTGCAAAAGGGGCAATATAGGAGGTCTGTGCATGTCATAAGTGCATCTTCTCTCATAGTCCTGAAACCAGTACAACATGGTATCATCCACAAACCCTTACACACCCATGCAAAGCCTTTGGCAGCCTCATCCAATTGCAAAGCCCCTATACTAAGTCTCCTCCTCTCTCGAAGTGCATTACCATCTTGCTATCCCGATCCCGTGTTCGACCCAATTATGTGGGAGGGGTTGTTTCATCCAGAGGTCAACGTAAAGTGTGATCCCAAGACGGGAACACAATCCACTTCAACTCAAGGGGCACCCAAACGAGTACAAAGAAAAGGCGACTCCGTAACCTGCCACAGGGATTTAGTATTTAGAATAATTAGCATTAAGGTATTCAGGCAGAGGGCTTAGATTACTTTGACTCGGGTCTTGGCATTTGGGTGCCCTCTAACACCTGTACTAATTGAGGGAACAGCAGTACTTGTTCAGGCGCTTTTATAGAATGCTAAACTTAGGCGGTGGCACTGTGGACAACCTTCGAGCTTCCGTTATGGTCGTTTAGAGACATTACCTGGTCATGAATACTAGTACCCGGAAGCTCCAGCTTTAAACCCGTACAGAACCTTACACCCTAACCCCTTCTATCTTCTTATCTCCCAAACCCTAGACCCTGATATCATCTTACATCCTACGTGGACGCCTAAAAGTTGGTAACCCAATAGCCTCGATCCTTAAGAGTACTGTATAGGGAATCCCAGCACAATTTGGCCTTAATCCGGTTTCCAACTTTATGGGGTTTACTGTAGACCGTAGCACCCCACATCCCAAGGCCAAAGCTTGTGGTATGCGATTCTACGGAAGCCTAGGGTACAGTTTATGGTGTAACCCAGCGTTGCAGGCGCCCTTGCTGCATTGCTCCAAGGGTAAAAGGAGGGACCCTTAATAAGGACCCCTAGGTATATACCCTTAATATAGCCATTATATACCCATTATATAGCCCATTATAAGGGTCCCTCCTTTTCCCCTTTGAATTGCTGAGGAGTGGCTCCTATTACCCGGAGTTTTCACTGCTGGGGGCCTCTCTGCTCCAAACGCGACCCTCAGGCCCAAACCTAAACCCTAAACCCCCAGACCCCTAAAAGCCCGAAGCCCTAAACCCCTATAGGTCCTTTTCCCTTAAACCCTTCAACCCCTTAAGCCCTAACTTTTTGGTTAAACCCCTCAACCCCTAAGGCCCTAACCTTTTGCTGCGGCTTGGGGTTCTCGTTTTAGGGCCTTTGGTCTCCAGGCGCGTTCCAAGGAAAATATCAGGCTTTCGGGGGGATTTTGGATTTTTGATGTAAGTTACCATAATTTAGGCTTCCTTTAAGAGTTCCTTCAAGGGATCTATAAAGGGTCCTTTGAGGGTTAAGGGATTCAGTTGAAGTTGCCATAAAAGAGGTCGTTCCTTATCATGGTAACTGGTAGCTTGAAATCAATTCCTTAACAGTAACCCAGTTTGGTGCTTTTGGCCTTGCTTTGGGTCTTCGCTTTGCTTTTGGGGTTGGCGAGCTTTTCGTCATCGGGTCTTCTAGTTTTGGTGCGGTTGGGGATCTTACCGTTTCCCGAGTGCCCGTGGACATAAATGCGATCCACCAATGGCGTTGTTTCAACGTCGTACTAGTAGTTGAGTTCGAAGCTTGAAACCTGTTCGAGTACGTACCACCCTGGAACTGACAGCTCGTCTTTGTCACCTGAACTCAGCAGCTAAGCGAAGGAGTTTGGGAAAGACGTCGGCCGAGTTTTGGTGACCCTTCATCCCTAAGCCCCCCCAAAGCCAGCCCACCCTAGGCCTTGCTAAAAACTCCTGCGCCCTGAACCCTTTCCCTTACAACCAGAAACCCGACGAAACTGTACACTAGGGTTTTAGGGATTTGGGGTTTATAGGGTATAGGACAGAGTAGAAAGCCCTATTAGCATTCCAAGGAGGTGCAGAGCTTGGATGTAGTGATCATCACGCACTTTCATCTCGCCTGCGCCTCAACCCAGGGTTAGCAAAAGGATGCGGGGTTCGAAGAGCCCAAAAAGTCGGGGGACTTTTCTGGTAACTGCAATTCGGGTATTCCCTTTCTGGGTTTCTTCCATACCGCTCCCATAGCTCTCCCATACTGCTTCTATAGGACTATGCTTTACCTATCCTTATGGGAGTGATATGGGAGATATTTTGAAGCCGTTGGCAGAACTCCGTTCTACGATGGTAGGTCGCCTATGGAAGTTGATGGGCCTGCGAGGGTTCTCGTTCCGGACTCGCATGTAAGACGATGGGCTTGTTGCAGGGCTCGTATGTAAGATGAGAAGCTGGCTTCACATAGCTCTCTGATAGCTCTCCCATGGCTCTCCCATGGCTCTCCCATGGCTCTCCCATGGCTCTCCCATAGCTCTCCCATGGCTCTCCCATGGCTCTCCCATAGCTCTCCCATAGCTCTCCCATGGCTCTCCGATGGCTCTCCCATGGCTCTTCCATGGCTCTCCTCTTTTCTCTCCCCCATAAGAAAAAGTATCAAACGCATGACGAGATAATGGACGCTCAGCAACGGAAGAGCTAATTGCCCGAATCTCCCATAAGAACCAGCCCACCTCCCATAAAGGGAGTACCTGATTTGGAGGTTCCAGAAAGTTGCTTGGAAAAAGGGGGGCCGTAAGACTTAGACGATTTTTTGTGCCAGGGTTTCCCAGGTTATACGGGGTGTAAGCTTGAACTGTATTACTATAGGCTCAGACCCTTATAGAAAGTCTTTCGAGTCCTGGCCTTGCGCTGACTTTCCTCGCTCCTCTTGTCGAGAATAGGGGCCCGAAAGACACTCAAGCATAAGGATCTTAGTTTTGGGATACAACAAGGCCCCTAAAAGGGGGATTCCAGAAGACCTTGAGTAGACATCGCACAGTTCTCTCGGGATTGGCATTTGCTTCAGACGTTGGAACGTTGTTATCGTTCCAAACGGTCGGAGCCAAGGCATTCGATTTCTTCACTGGGCTGTCCATCACGTGTAAGGTAGGGCTCGTAATGGTTAATAGTGGATTTGTTCCTATGGAGCGGGGTCAATCAAGGAATGATATTCTTGTATACACGCACGACCCTATGTTGTGTCATAAGCCCCATAAAAAACGATTCTGAGGATCAAGGCTGCAAGGGACTTGATCGCGTTGTTTATCATGTTCGACATGGTTTTGCCCATGGGGTTCTGGGTAGAGGTGGCGTCTGTCTTCATGTGCCCAAAAGCCTAAACCCTAGGCCCGAGGGACCCTTAGTCCAAAAACTCTCCGAAGCGTCACCCCAAAACGCGAAACCCTCGCCATAAACATTAGTTAAACCCCTAAATCCTCAACCGAAAACATCCCCACAAAGCATCGGTACCCGTGAGCCGGCGAGGATCATGTGGGGGCCTTGCACCGGTCTTAGCTTTTCAGGTGAAGGCCTTTCGTGGTGTTTCTTCATCCTGGATGCTTCTTGCTAACTGCAGGGTTTAGGGCTATGGGTTTAGGGTTGGGGGGTTTAGGGCTGTGCTCTTCAAGAGTTAAGGGTGGAGGATCAAGAGCTTTTTCGATATAGGGCTAACTTTTCCGATGTATACGCTACTTGCATTGGCGAGGGTAAGACCTGAAATCTCAGAAAGTGTTCAGAAGTCAGCCATAGGTCGGTTTGGGGATTTAGTGTGGGGCCCTTCGTGCTACGATTGGGAGCAGTGTAGGGCTTTTGCTTGCACTTTCGCGCCTCCACCAACATGCTTCAGGGATGCCAGTGGCCAAGTACTTGGAGGTTCAGGGGTAGTTACGTGTGGGGTTAGAAGTCCCTTGATATTGGTTTTAAGTATAGCTACCCTACTTATAACCCCACTTATAACTATCCCTGAACCTCCAAGTAGCAACCCAGAAGTTTGAAACCCAACCCAATAGCCTAAATCCTGAAGAGCAATGCATAGGGAATCCCAGCACTAATTGTCCGCAATCAGGTTTCCAACTTTTTGGACTTACTGTAAGGTTTCACATAATTACTATAAAACACTAATGGTAATGATCATCGTAGTAATAGTACCAATAATAGCTGTTCCCAACATTCAGTTTCAATAGGAAGTTGCTGGACTGAAAACAGTAGCATCCGGGCATACATACAAAGAATAGGGTTTGGGCCATGTTGTTCCGCAATTATCAAGCGGAGCCCTGTTAAACATGGTTGGGTCGAACAAACATCGAGAGAGAGAGAGAGAGAGAGAGAGAGAGAGAGAGAGAGAGAGAGAGAGAGAGCGGGAGCCCTCCGCAATTGTGAAAGCCCTGTGCCGCATATAGGGGCTGGGCTTGCAAATTTGTAGGCGTTTTCCCCAGAGCTCTCCCACCTGTTTCCCAGACATAGCCCCTAGTCTGCCCCTTCATTAATTCATCTGGACCTCGGAGCAAAAAGACCTTTCTCATTTACGGGGAGTGTAGCTGAGATCCTATTTCAGTGCCTTAATAATGGTGGTTTATTGGTCAGGGGGTGTGAATGCCATTAAAGTCCTGAGCCTGACCTTGCACTGCTCTTTCAGGCCTTATCTCACTGAAATTCTCGGCTACCACGGGTGAAAGCCCCAGTTGATATCAGACCCTGGCACATCACAGCGTGCAGGGCTTACAGGATTCAATGGTTGTGGGTCTTGAGTGTTTACGGCCGCAGGGTTGAGGGTTCGGCTGGAGAAGAACTCCCTTTCGACTGCATGTTGCTTCTGCTCGTCGGTGAGTGGGGACACGAGGGAACCTACTTGGAGGTTCATGGTTAGTTATAAGTGGAGATAAGTTCCTGAATATGGGTGATAAGTATAGTTACCCTACTTATGACCCCACTCACAAGTACCCCTGAACCTCCAAGTAGTCCCATACTTTTTCAAGAAGTTTGGCTCAGCAGACCGGAAGCAACCCGAAACCCTGTCATCCACTGGAGGCCCATCTCACCATGCAACAAGGACTCCAACACTTCAAAGGCCTTCAAGATTGAGGTTTGGAGGTTTAGGGCCTTTGGATTTAGGGTGTATGCTTAGGGGGTGTTTCGTGCTCCTATCGAGGCCGATCTTGATGACGCACCCCACCCGCGCGATTGCCCCCATCATCATCAAGGACGCCCTGTCTTTCAGGCAGGAGTTTATTGGTCCATGACCCATGGTTTTGGGGTCTGGGGTTTAAGTTCGGGGTTGTGGGCAAGCGGAGTACCTTGCGGAAGACCCACTGCCCGAAGTTGCAAGCGTTGAAGTGCAAGTAGCCCTTCCTCTACTTGGAGGTTCATGGGTCGTTATAAGCTTGGGTTATAGGTAAAGTTGTCCCACTTATAAGCCCACTTATAATTTCCCATGGATCTAAAAAGTACGAGGTCCGAGTTTTCGGGAAGGACGGGGTTTAGTCGACGTGATATGACCCCGGTGAAATCCCCGAGCAAACTGGACAAGTAAGCCGGATTGTAGGATTGAACGGGCCAGGCTCCTGGGGCTTGGCAAGGTGGGTCGAAGATGAGGTAAACGGGTTTAGGACTTCGGGTTTAGGGTTTAGAGCGGGTGTTCGAGGCTTCCAGGAAACATACTGACACGAAGAAACGGCGGACACGAAAGTTATTCCTACCCAGTCTCTGTTTCATTCATTGAAAGGTGGCTTAGGGCTTGATTGAATTTGAGGCGTATGCGATCCTCGGACATGTGAATCTCAAATACTGCATAGGCCGGCAAGCGAAAAAACCAAAGCCCTTATGCACCTTGCTTCTGTTACGCGGGATGGTATACAGGAACAGACCGCAACCCGGACACCTCAAAACACCCGACGACCCTCTACGCCTCTAGCCTCTGCTGATGCAAAGACACTAAGCCTTCAACATCCTCCAACCTCAGTAAAGTTACGCTTAACCCCTAAACCCTGAACCCCTAAACCCTAAACCCCAAACCCGCCTAAGCCCTACACCCTTAAACCTGCAGCCTTGGGCCCTGAAGCTCTTCGATCAAATCCTCCCCCACAGAATCGAAGCGTAAAGTTGGGGCATGAAGACTCCGTAGCAGTAGTAGTAGCAGCTTTGGGCTCCTCACTATGATTACCGCTGGTACTATAGCATACACCCAAACCCTACATTACTGGATATAGGGCCTGGGGACATTTTTTGTTTTCCCTTGTCCGGCCTTCTCCCCCGCCAGGCGGGATGCGGAGGCTGTGGGCAAAGCTTGGGCATGACGCTGCTATAGAAGTCGCAGAGGTAGGAGAAACATCAGATATCCTTCTAGTTCCCATGGTTGTGTCTATGTTATACATGCTGTAGCTCCTTGTTGAGGTCCCTATATTGTTTGGCGTTCCATCGGGTAGTTTTAGGTGTTGAGGCAATTGTTGGGTTCCGCTCTCTCTTGAGGTACTGGGAGCTTCAAAACCTTCTGTTTTGCTTCCTAGATGAGCAGACTTAGACATTGGCAGTAGTGCAGGTTGTACACTCTCAAGATCTCTCAACACTTTGAATGCATGTCACACTGAGACCCCCGAAAGATCACAATGGACTGCATCCCTTATTCAGCATATTCTGATGCTGCTTTGTCTATTGGTGCCTATGTCAGTAGACATTGTATCAACAGACTGTTGCACACACTCGTGCTACCTTCGGGGCAATCGCAACAGACATCGCTACCCTGAGTAGGAGGGCAGGTTACCTGCAACCTTTTTGGGTACAATAAGCCCTAAAAAATCCCAAAGGCTTTCCTTTTGTATCCCGAGGATACTGGGCAAGTAGGCCAGTGGTCGTATTCCTAGGTTCCCCAGTAATACCCTTGTAAGCAAAAAAGTCTTATAACCCCCCAATATAGAGCCCTTATGGATCCCTTTAAGGATTCCTTAAGGACCCTTTTAAAGGAACCTTACTTCCCAGTAGTACCCTTGGTAAGTGCCGCACTTCCCTCCGGAGGCCCTTACCCCTGAGATGGTCGATGCGCCCTTCGATCGGGCACGGTGCTTCCAGCTGCAGGACAGCTCGGAGCATTTCAAGTCCTAAATAGCCTATAACATATTATACGTTATGGATCATGTACAATAGTACAATGTTCACTGCATTATACACAATACACATGTGTGATACAAAAGTGGGGAGGCATCTGGCTTCTGGACCTTTGTCAACGAGTTTCGCAGACACCCTTTTTGGCTTTGCGGGTGGGGCAGGGTGAAAGCGCTGGGTGAGGCCAAAGCAAAAGCATACGGCCAATTATGTAGTCGTTGTCGTCGTAGCAGTAGAAGATAGTAGTCGTCATCGTCGTCATCGCCGTAGTGACTGGGCCGTCGTTTGCTGCACAAGCTGCCTGATAGCATTTCAGCGGCTACTCAAACTAATGCGTTCGGCAGCACAACGTGCTTGAACTAGTGACTTTGCTCACGACATCTTTCGGAGACGTGGAACTCGCGTGAGCATGCTGCAGCTTAGCTCTACAGTTCTCTAAGATCCAGGTTGCCACGCTTTTCAGTGCTAGTCGAACCCTTACCTTCAGTCTGAGCACCTTGCCATCAGTTTCGCTGCCGAATATTACAGTAGACTCCAGACAAGCTGGGATTAACGGCGTTGCACAATAATGAGCTATTCTGTGCCTATAAATTTCCACAAAACGGCAATACAAAGCCAGCCAGCTGAGAGAGAGAGAGAGAGATACACATATCATATATGTATTCGACAAGTTGTCATATCATTCTTTATATACTGAGATGTATAAGTTCATAAATCAGCAAATATTCTATATACACACACATCACAAGTTCAGTTCATAATCGAACACAAGATATGGTACATATTACCCCTAAACATGATAGGTAATATGATATAGAAGAAGCTATTGAAGGGCTACAGTGCATCGTATCATATATTATGGAGCGAGAGAGAGGGTACGGTGGTCCCCACTGCGATGCAAACAGAAGCGGCGTTTACTCGAGATTTTGCAGAGGAGCGAGTGGAGATCGGCGACCTGTGTGTGACCAGCTTTTATGCCGGCCACGTGTGGGGGACTTGAGCTGTTATTCTGTTCTACTTGGTCTACTACTACTCGTCCTCCTCCTCCTCCTACTATCCTCCGGCTTGAGCTTGTGTCGGCGCAGGATGGGTCTGGCTCAGGGTGTAAGGCTCAGGGTCAGTAGAAGTCAGAGTTGGGATTTAGAAGTTTGTTTAGACCCTAAGCCTCAACCCCGAAAATCCTAAACCTTAGGGCTTCAAGGGCTATTGGTATCCAACTTAGAGTTGCAGTGCTTGAAGAAGGGCCTAGAGCGCAATATACGTGCCGTGCAGGCCCGTCTTGCTACTGCTGTGTGGGTTCTCGGATTGAGCCCTAAAATGCTAACGCCTTAACCCCCAAACTGAAACCGCTGTTGGTGTAGCAGTATCCCGAAGGTTTCGCATCGCCTAAAGGGGACAACAGGGTACCCTTACTTTTGGGTTCTTGGAGTCTTCAAAGCCTGCCCTGTTTGGAAACGCAAAGTCAAGTTGCAGAAGACCTTCAAATCCAGTGAAACCCTAAGTCATTCCCCAGCGCCTTTAAACCCTAAACCCTCAAGCCGAAGACCTTCAGTTCTCTAGATACTCTGCTAGATAGTATGCAACATCTTTTACTGTGTATTAGACTACACATTACACTTTAATACTATATAGTATACCCCTTTTTATTCTATATCTACATAATGTATCATTAAATCATGAACCTGAGAGTTTCTCCGAAAGCTCAGGCTTGGAGCAGTGATGGTGCACCTGGAGTGTCGAGGGCCGGGCGTCTCGAGCCGGGGCGAGGGCTTTTTCTGAAGGTCTCTTAGGAGTAGAATGGGGGTTTTGGGGGTTTAGGGTTTTAGGGTCTCAGGGGTTTAGGGTTTTTAGGGTTTTAGGGTTTAGGGGTTTAGGGTTTTTAGGGTTTTAGGCTTTAGGGTTTAGGATTTGATTAGGAGTAGAATGGGCGACCTTTGTTGGGGGCCTGGGGTAGTATAAGGGAGTTCTATATAAGGGCTTCTATATGGGTCTACAAGGGTCTCTTAAACGGGTTCTAAGAGGTTCGTAGAAGGGTCTCTTAGTAGCAGAGTAGCTACCATTTAGCTTTATGGGGGTACTGTGTCCCCTACACCGTTCCAGAAGGTTAACCGTTTGTTCCCCTAGGATGCTGGGCAAGTAGCGTCTTGATAAGGCTTTTCTGCATTTTCATCAGGTTCCAGGGAAAACTTCATGGGAATCTAGTGGGGCTTCACTGGGGCCCTACACACGTTCGAAAAGCTCTCTTCGGGGCTGAAGGGTTGCATGTTTTGCGGCTTGCTGTTTGGTGTACCTGTGAGTTGAGCCTGTCTCGCGGAACCTAACCAAATCGCGTCAAAATTCGCTGTTAATTTTCGGCAGAGTTCAAGGTGCTCGCACCGAGGAAAATTTTACAAGAAGGCAGGCTCTCGGTCTCTGTGCAACACTGAGCCAGAGCTGTGGGCCTGAAATCAACGACTTTCCGCCAACGAAAGCTGGAAAAGCCAAAAACTCAGACCTCTAAGCTGTGTATATATATAATATATAATATAATATAATATAATATAAATATATACATATATATATATATATATATATAATCGAACTTGCGTGCAGCATGTGATGGATCATCGAGAAGACATTAGGAATATATATATATATATATATATATATATATATATATATATATATATATATATATGTGCATATTTATATGTACATAAATATATATATATATATATGCATATGTAACATGCAGGTTGTTCTCAATGAGCCTTGATGAGTGGCCTGGCATAGGTGTACAGCTCGGTCTGGCATGGAAGGCACACTTGAGCGGCGTTCTAAACTCTGCTTGTGGAAGTTTATACAAACGTTAAGATTGGTCTGGTCGGCATCAGCTGGGACTCGGCGCGCGTCAGTGAAGCTATAACTATGCTCATGCGCTAGCTGACGCGTCCGTGGCCTAGAAGGGTATAGTCACCGAATCTCGCCTCTCGGTGATCCTGAACATGTTTTGCATTTAAACAGCTCCATGAACTTTGTGAAGCTCCTCAAGCACAGCGTCACTCACGGCTGGGCCGATGCTGCGCAGGCCATCATGAGATGAAGGTGGTGGTGTCGGGAAATTCCTAAAATTCCTATCCACTGCAGAATGAGCTCGCTGCCTTGGACTTGGAGGGGAAAACTCACGAGTCCGGCCACATCCGGACGAGGAGTCTGGAGTGGCCCAGGAATGAGTTCTAGGTGGCAATGCAGTGCATCCGTCGTCGAGCCTACGTACGCATTCATGTCGACAGCACCATGCCTCGGGAGTTTCATTCTCGCGCTGCTGCAGGAGGAAAGCCTACGTGAGTTGCACTCTCATTACGGCTCTGAGTGTGCAGCCGCGTTCTTACGGCTGGAGTACTCGCCAAATTGGCAGTTGAACAGAGTACTGATCCCGACGATCGTTGCAACAAAACATCCTGGCCCTGGCCTTCGTGTACCTTCGTGCTGCACATCTCTGCGGTTCAGTCATGCTGTGTCGAGCGGCGATGCAACCAAATCCCAACATGTGACCCCAAAGCCTAGAACAATCCGTGTAGGAGTTGCTAGTAGGGTTTAGGCTGTAGGCTTAGAGCCTCAACAATCACCTTTCGTGTTCCTTCAGTCGTTTCGTCACCCAGGGACTGTGGTGCTTCATCGAATGAGCACCTGACTTGTTCAGGTTTCATCAGTGGCCTTGTAGCCGCTCCAGCACCACCTGAGATCCCTTTTGCAAGCCCTCTGAAGGGCAGACTGTTGTTGGCCTGATGATGCTAGACTAGAAGACACCCCAAGAAGTTCTTCTGATTCCACCCCCCCAACAGTATTCCCGCTAGTTAACTTGGAGACGCTTTTGGCCTGCAGCCCTTCCGATTCTCCCAGGCAGAGCGCCCTGTACACCGGCGACTTTACCATGGTGTCCGAGCCTTGTGTCCAGGGGTTTAGGGCTGGGGTTTAGGGCTGTTAAAGTTTAAGGGAAACTTTAGAGTTTGGGCTTTAAGGCATGTAGTGTCTGAAGAGAGCGGCTTTAGCGTTTTGGGCAGTTCTTTCCGGCTAGGCGTGTGGTGACGATGATCTTCAGGGATCTTGTGGGCAACCTCTATGCATGCACTTTGGACGAAGCATAATCCTCACAGCAACCCAAAGTTGAATCGTCTTGGCCCGGCACCAAAAAACTAAATCTTTAAACGCATGAGGACGATGGCGACGATGATGGCAACCGTGGTGACTCAGTGGTGATGAGAGGTATGAAGCCCAGACACAGATTGGCAGGCATGAGCGCGGGGCCGCCTGCCTTAGGTTTGGGTGACAGAGTTTGGGGGAATGACTACACAGACACCCTAGAAGCCTGAAACCTCAAATCCTACCTCCTGAAGACCCGAAGTAATAACACCCTCAGCCCTAACCCCAAAGTTCAGAATGCCCATCGGCTTGCTGCCCAGGTCAGACTACCACTTAAGTGCTGCTCGAGTCCCTCTCGCTCTCCACCCTGACGTGATCATCACCGAGACGACGTGCCACACATGGATTTGCGTGTTCAGCTATTGAGTTAAGCCTTCAGGAATTTGAGGTTGGTGGGGCCTCCATTCAATATACTCAAGCCGTTCTCTCGCCCAGGAGTCTTGCCTCCTGCCATAAAGTGATTTCACGGGTTTCGTGTGCAGTGCAACTCTCCGAGTGAGATTGTTCTGAGTATTCATAATGGTGGCGATGACGATCAGTAGCCTGGTCGCCAGCGTTCGCACGATCTACGCCAAGCTGAGGGCTGAGGGTTTCACGACGATTTGAGCACGGCGGCCTGGTATAACGGCGGCTGTGTTGGTTAGAAGGAGGCGGGGAGACATATGTTGGTGTTGATGATGACGCTGATGATGACAGAATCATGACGACGACTGCGCCTTGATCTGAAGCTAACTATAGTGCACTCGCGGCAAGACAAAATAATCTGACGGGGGCGACAGCGACGAGGAAGACGTAGTGGACGAAGGCAATGGCAAACAGAGCGAATAATACACCTTGACCGCCAAGCCCAAGACACACAGTTGACCCTCGGTACTCGAAACTTCGTCAATGATATCATTCGCAGGTGGTATAGCAAGACATTTAACCCCTTTGGCGTTGCGTAACCCGTGAAATCCCACAGGTTAACCTTTAGTACCCTAGGATACTGGACGAGTACGCATCAAGGTGCTGCACGACCATCCGCTCCTCAAAGCGGAGGGAGGTGCACGACCTTTGTAGCAAGGCTGGATCCATGCAGAGACTCCAGGGCCTGAACCCTAGGTAGTATTATTAGGGAGACCCCTTAAAGGGCACCCCTTCTGGACCCTACTTCTGGCTCTGGCCTCATTGAGAGGGTCTACATCCCCAAGGGTCCCCCTAATCTTAACTCCCAAACCCTAAACCCCTAAACCTGGGTGTTCGCTCCGGCTGCACATGCATCGAAATTTGGAGTCCGGGGCTCGGAGGTCGGTCTTAGGGTTTAGGGTTAGGGTTGAGGGTTAGGGTTAGGGTTTAGGGTTTAGGGTTTAGGGTTAGGGTTTAGGGTTAGGGTTGAGGGTTAGGGTTTAGGAAGGTTTGGTGCCTAGGCTTTGTTGTTGCCTCAGGGTTCAGGGTTCGGAGTTTGGCTTTAACTTGAAGTACCAAAAGCGACTTTGTGGCAGGTCCCTATACAGTCTGTATTAGTGTTTTCAATAAGAACCCAAGAAAGCACTTGCCGCTTAAGGCAGGATTTAGGTTTTGGGTTCAGGTCTTGGGGCTTTCCCAAGCCCTAAACACTGGAACCTATGGAATCCCTAAATATGGGAGCTTCCGAAAATAGGGGACTTGAATATAGCACCCTAAATCCTAGGATCCTTAGTATAAGGACCCCAAAATAAGGTGCCCCTAATTTTCGGAAACTCCCATACAGGGTCCAGGGCTCAGGGTTTGGAGTTCGAGTGTGGTTTTGAATGGAAGCCTCGAACTCCAGAAGCTCCGGAAACAGCATACAGTGGACCCCAGAAAGTTGGAACATGGGTTTAGGAGGATTGGCGCTAGGATCGACTATGCTTTACCCTAAGGCCATGGGGATCTTGATGTTCCAACTTTCTGGTTTCTTCTATACATAGCATCGAGCTCGAACAATTACCCAAAAGACTCTTAGGGTTCCTGATTATGATTACGGTATAACAAACCCAATAGCACTATCTTTCTGATTAAGCACCTTCATGCGGGATCCTGGTTTTAGGGTGTAAGCGTGCCTACGAGGGGGATTCCATGCAATTTGGCAGTTTTTACGACTGGTGGCTTTGGCATTTGCTGCTGCGGTTGATCACCGCGACTGCTGCTGACGGCAACACTGCTATGCTTGTTGTCATATCTGGGGATTGGGGTGTTCATGTGCAGCTTGACCCGAAAGCGTTATCAGACTCCTGAAGGCACAGACCCTGAACCCGGAAAGCTTGGGCACCGTAGCCTTAGAACCAACACCCCAAAACCACATAATCCTGAACCCTGGAAACTTCAGTCTAAAGACCCAAAACCTGAAGCCAAACTTCAAAGTAATACCTTATTGTACTGACTTATAGTATAATGTGCCCTTAAACCCTATTCTAACTTTTAAGGCCCCCATATTACCACAGCCGAAACGGAACCTGGGAGGTGCAAGACTGCCTACAGAACGGTGGCAAGGTGCGACGAATGGGTTAGCAGGGTTTGGGGTCTTGGGTCGATGAAGGAACTTAGTTCGAGCTACCATCATAGTGGGAGTTAGGATTAGGGGGACCCTCGGGGATGTAGACCCTCTCAATAAGGTCCCTTTTAAGAGAGCCAGGAGTAGGGTTCGGAAGGGGTACCCTTTAAGGGGTCTCGCTCGTCATGCTACCCGCATAGGGGGGTCGTTCGGGTTGGTTTGGGCTTTGGGGTTTAGGGTTTGCGGGTGGACGCGGTACTCTCCCAAAGCCGCAAAGCCTACAAGACTCCAACACACGGAGTTTTGAGCCCCTGCTTCGGGTGTAGGATTGGCGGTATGATCTGTGACCCCAGACTGAAACCCGCGATCTAAGAACCCAACAGCCCGAACCCTTCCCGAAACTTACCTGTGGTTAGTAGGGAAAGGAGGAATGGGGTATACAATGAAAGCTACTATTACTACCATTCTTCCACTCCCTACTAACCAAAGGTAAGTGATGGGATTATTAAGGCCCCTATATTAAAGTACCCCTATAGTAACCCTTATAGACCCCTGTATAAGGCCCCTTCCATTCCCGAGTAACCAAAGGTAAGGAAAGTGTGTTTAAGTGCCTGGGAAGGTCCTCGTTCCTTTGCTGGTCATGGGACGCAGCACTGAGATCTGCCCCTTCGGCACAGTCTTTGGGCTCTGGTCCGTTTGAGGGCTTGGGATTTGGCGTTTAGAGTTGCTGGAGGGCTCCAGGGTCTTAAGGTGTTTTGAGGGCTTTTTTTTTGGGTTTGCTTAGACGGCTGTATTGGTTTACTAAACTGTCATCACTCCTTTTGCGGACTGCGAGAGGGGTAGTGCATCCAAAAGCCCGGGCCAAGGCCAGGGTACAGGGTTCGGGTTCTGTTTTGTGAAGCCCGAAAGCCTGAGAACCACGGCCAATACTAAGTTTCCGAATCCCCCAAGCCTTAAGCCTCATACTCCAACGGCTCCCAACGTGGGATGAAGGTAGGTGGGGTACTCCCAATTAAGAGTCCTTATTATATACGGGATCCTCCATCCTACCTTGAGGCCTCCGATACATGAACTTTAATCTCTGCCAACCTTATCCTCGCAACCCCAAAGGAAACACCAAATGCCTTTCCGCTTTACTATAGGGGCCTTGATAATTAGAATAGGGTTCTAATTATAGCTATGGTATCATATGTCCTGAAACCCTATCCTAATCATTAAGGCCACTACATGAGCAGCTTCTACAAACCCTGAAGGGCCCGTATGGAAACCGTCTTGAACTGCATTGATCTCATGGAGGGTTCTGAATAATTGTCTTCATCATTCCAGGGTTCCCCAACCTAGCTCTGGAAGAACACCTTATTCTCATCTCACTGTTAAGACAAACCCCTACCTGGACCCCACAGAACCCTTTTAAAGATGCCTTCAATCCTGATCAGGTATCGATTTGGGGTAATTCTTCATTTCCCTTATTGTTGAATATAGAGCCCTAGTAATATTCAATTTTTGGGATTGTTGAAATCGACACCTAGTACTTGTTCAGCCCCAATATTATCTAAAGCTCTTCGAATTCTTCAGACCCGTTTTCTGTCAAAACTTTATTGTATGACCCTTATATACCCTTTGAAGAGACCTGTTAAGAAACCCCATTCCAATCATTCAGGCCCCTACACGTGAGCACCCTCGTAAAACTCCATTGTAAAACCCTGCCATACCTTCTAAGAAGAACTCTTCAAGGAACCCCAAGTGCAACTCTTCACCTCCCCCCGAAAAGAAAATCACCAGGTGGGTATGATCTTGGAATGCCTAAACCCTAGACCTAAACCCCAAAAACCCCAAACCTAAACCCCAAACCTGCACCCGACGACCACGCGCAAAAAGCAAACGGCCCCAGGTATGATCTTGGAAGAGCACTGGGCCAAGGCAAAGCTGGCGTATCCCATCTTCGCCTCCCGACCCGCACTCTATATACTCGTAGATAGTATAGGGTTTGGGGTTCCCTGAACCCTAAACCCTAAACCGTAGGGGCCTTAGGGTTTCGGTTTTTGAACTTTAGGGTTGTGGGGTTTTCAAGGCCCCTACGTTCGACCCTAAATGCAGGACGTCCTCAAACCCCTAACCGTAGGGCCATCTAGTCCCCAAGCCTGTACCCCCAAACCCTAAAACCTAAACCCTAAACCCTAAACCTAAAATCTAAACCCTAAACCCTAAACCCTAAACCTAAAACCTAAACCCTAACCTAAGACCTAAACCCTAAACCCTATACCAAAAACCTAAACCCTAAACCTAAAACCTAAACCCTAAACCTAAACCCTCTCTAACGCCTCAGCCCCAAACCCTAGAAACCCGAGCTCGAGAGACTCGGAGCTCCCCCTCAGAGCCCTTCTACTAGACCTTGAAAGTTATCCTTGATAGAACCCTAAAAACCCTAAACTTTAAACCCTAAACCCTAAACCTTAATCCCTAAACCTTAAACCCTAAACCTTAAGCCCTAAGCCCTAAGAACCCTGAAGGGAGCCCTCAGAGCTACCCTACAACGCTCGAGACCTACCCAAATCTAAGGGCTTTCATAATTGGAATTGGGTTTTTGGGGGTTCCTTATTCTAGTTGCTTTGGTGTTTATTCTACTATCAATATAGTAAGGAGCCCCCGAAGAGCTGTTCTGAATTCTAAGCAATAAGGTCCCTATATTGCGCTAAAACGCTTCCAGCTTCTAGCCCAGGTCATCAGCGTCATGGCTCAAAAGGCCCACCTCTGCTTGGATTCGCTTCAGGTGAAATTTTATGGGTTCAGGGTTTCAGGGTTTAGGGTTTTTGGGCCTTAGGGCTTCGGAAGTTTGGGGTGTTTGGCGGGTTTCGGATTTAAGCTTTGTGTGTAGGCCTTTGGTTTGTTTCACATTCTCCCTTATCGGGCCGAAGAGGATCTCTTTTACGAAGGTTGGTCAACGGCTTTCAGGGCCCAACCTTTTTGCAAATTCCGAGCCGCAAGACTACTTTTCGGAAACCCAAGTACAAAGCTATTGGGTCCTAGTATGGGGTGGAGGATGATCGGGTTTAGGGTTTAGGGGTCCGGTGTTTTTCGGGGCTCAGAGTCTAAGAAGTTGTAGTGGTGGTGGTTAGACTGCAGTGAGAGAACTAGTAGCAGAAGTAGAAGTAGTAGAAGTAGTAGTAGCAGCAGCAGGCTCTGCAGGAGTAGTAGTAGTAGTAGTAGTAGTAGTAGTAGTAGTAGTAGTAGTAGTAGTAGTAGTAGTAGTAGTAGTAGCAGTAGTAGTAGTAGTAGTAGTAGCAGAAGTGCTCGGGTAGTGGTCGGTCTCGGAGGGAAGCCTGCGCCCGATAATAGAGTTTCCGGAAGACGACACGGACCCTAGAATGAGACGCGTGAATCAGAACCAGGTAGTCTTCAGCCATGAGAGTAGGATCCTTAGCATGCGACCCTTTTGAAAAGGCATCCTCCATTTCATGCCCGAAGCGGAAGACCAAGACTGTCGGAATATGAACGACAGGATTCCAACATGCTCTGAGACTTTACAACTCCTTAGGACTTGTTTGAAGTTTCCGTTTGTGGTATCTTAAGTCTTAAGACTTATTGCGTGTTTTCGTTCTAGCGCAACCCCATGGAGTTCTTGAAGATTCAGCTTGATGAGGGGGCGTGTCCAAGGGGCTTAGGGCTAAGAGCAGGGGATTCAAGTCCGTTTCGAATTCTTGTTTCAGACTGTAGGGAAGGCTTTGATGCTTTAGGATTAGGGTCTGAGAACTCAGAGTTATAAATAGGCTAACTATAACCATAACCCATATGAGGAGACTTATAACCCAGCTATAACTACCCATGAACCTCCAAGTAGCCTAAACCCTAGAACTTTCTGGAATCCCTATAGATCCCTTTAAAGGCTAAAGGAACCCTTATAACTACCCATGAACCTCCAAGTAGCCAATGCGAACCTGGAAGGCGCGGGTGTTCTTTCGGACGTTTGCCTCATGGGGAAGCAAGCAGGCGCGTGCTGTTGCGGGCTGCAGGAAAGGGCGTGAACGAAAGTCAGTCGTAAGCTTCTAGGTATTGGGGTTCATGGTTTGGCTGATGATTGCCGTGCTTTCGGGATGTAGGTCGTCTATATAGGGGTTTTCTGTTGTGTTACAAACAGCTTACAGATCCGCAGGGCGGGCGTTAGGGTTTAGTTCGCATCAAGACATGTCAGCATTATCCTCAAATCCGAGGCCGTTCGTCCCAACATGCTGCGAAACCGCAAACCCAGTCTGTAGCCAAGACAATCTACAGTTTCGGGGTCCCTGACCGTGAGGTCTTTTCATATACCCTGAAGAAGATGAGTCGTAAAGCCTACTACACCCCAATACCCTAAACCCCCAAACCCCAAAGCCGACACAAAAAAAATAAGCCTCAAAGCCCAAACCTCAAAGGAAGGCTCTGGCTCCGAAGCTCCCGCTCCGGGAGGCTCCCTTGAGCCCGAATGCCAGGCACCAAAAAACCACCCAATCCCCGTCCATTTAGGGTTTACAGTAGAAGCCAGAAAGTTGGAATATCATTATCGTAACCCCTTTAAGGTAAAGTATAGGGGATCCTACCATTAATCCATATTCCAACTTTCTGGAGTTCCCTGTAGGTGGCTTAGGGTTTGCATGAAGGGACATGGTTTCTTTCCCCGCTCGTACTAAAGACGTACTAAAGACTCTAAAGACTCAAATTCCCAACTCGCTTCCGAACAGCCAGCTCCCTGAAAATGCACATGTAAACCACTGAGATGAGAGTTTCAGATAACAGGGTACCCTGTGGAGATCCAAATGGTAGCATAGCATCCTCATTTTGACGACCCTAGGAACACACCTGCAAATCTTTAGGGACCCAAAAAGGACATAAGCACAAGCATGTTATAAAGAGATCCATACCCCAATTTTTGCTTATGTGCTTTTTTCGGGCAGGTTCGATCTGCCGAGAAGCCCTTTGCCTTTCCGCACGTGCGTTTTGGGACCGTGGCAGAGCTCCTGGCGATGTGGGCATCCCAGACAAGTGGCGGTAGAAAGCTGGTCTTCAATGGCTCGTCAAGGTTTGAGAGGGGTTCTACAGAAGTGTGTCGGTGTAGGGCTCGGGGCGGTAGGCCGTTATTGAGTTTGGTTTGATTTTGGTCTTGGCGTTAGGCTTCAACTTGGGCTGCAAAGGTTTGGGGAATACGAGTTGATCAGGGTTAAGCGTTCCTGGTTGAGTGTCAACAGATTTAGATGGCTGCAATGTTGGTGTAGGCAGTTTCCGCGTGTGTGTGTGTGTATATATATGTGTGTGTGTGCGTGTGTATACATGGAGGTGTGTGTGCAGATGTGTGTGTATATATATATATATACACATCATATATATATATATATGTATATGTATATATGTTTAAACGGGAAGGACAGACAGAGAAGTATGTGTGTACTTGTATACATACACCTATATATACAAATGCCATTCCAGATGCTGCTGCCTCCCACCTAGAAAGACCCCTAAACCCCTAAACCCCAAAACCTGAAACCCTAAACCCTTAAACCCTTAAACCCCTAAAACCCTTAACCCCTAAACCCTAAACAGAAAGAGCCCTTTAAACAACCCCAAACCCCGATGAAACCCCAAACCACGAGCTCAAAAGAGCAGGTCCCAAAACCATAAACTGAAAACCCCTAACCCCTAAACCCTAACCCCTGAACCCCTTAAAACCTTAAAAACGAGCTCAAAAGAGAGCTAAACCCTGAATTTCTATACCCTAAACCCCTAAACCCCTAGACCCTTAAACCCTAAAGCCCTAAACCCCCTTAAAAGCCTAAAAAAAGTTCGAAAAAAGAGAGAGAGAGAGAGAGAGAGAGAGAGCGAGAGAGAGAGAGAGAGGCCCGGCCCGGCGGTGGCTTTGGCCGGCTCGGCGATGTTGGACTTCGGCCGGGAGCTCGCCGTTTCCTTTTGGGTTTTCCCATTTTTGGGGCTTTAATAATAAGAGTAGGGTTCCTTTAAGGGTTCCTTTTAAAGGGGTCTATAAGGGCTACTATAAATCTATAAAGGCTATAGTAAGGATTACTTCGAATTGGGTTTCGGGGACCATACTACTATAAGTTACTATAATTAGTAATAGTAGTTATACTTATACCAAGGCATCCCCAAAATAGTATAGGTATTTATCTATGCCCCTGTTTTAACGGGATTTGTCGAGGATCTGCAAGGGGATCTAGAAGGCTTGAGGGTTCTGGCTAAAGAGCTTAAGAGGGAGGTTGGGATTTAGGGTTCTGGCTGAGGAACTTGAGAGGGAGGGGGGGATTCTGATTTAGGGTTGAGGCTAAGGGCTCAGGGCTCTTGATTTTGGAACGTACACAAAGCTACCAGGACAGGGATCTGTGGTAAGTAACATATTTGTCTCATGGCGGTAACTTGACTAAACCCCTAACGATCCTCGAGGGCCCAGTTGTGTATCTCGATTGAAAAATCAAGGTTTGTCGTGTTTGATGGGCTTGTAGGTTTTGTAGGGATGTTGACGCTCAAAGGATGTGATCATGGGCTCTAAAGGATCTCTCACGTCGAATTGGTTTGGTTTCGGGGCTCTCAAAGCCTTAATACTAAACGCCTTATTCAAGCCCTAAATAAGCCGTAAGCCCTAACCCTAAATCCCTAAACCCTCTCTAAAAAGTCTTATATACAATAAGCGGTCCGGCAGTCGGATTCCAGAGGGGTTCTGCGGGGGCTTGCGCAGGCGTATGCAGGCGTTTACAAAAGATGTCCGCTCTTTGGATGGTTCATTCTGCAAGCTGGAGGTCACCGAAACGGATAAGCTCGCTAGTCAGACCCACATAGTGTACGTTTGAAGCCGAAGCGTCTAGCAGCTGCAATGCTTGCCCACCGCGAGACTGTTTCCGTGTGCGGTTCCAAGAAATGCGGTCTACCAGGAAGCTACGGACCTTAAGCGCCAAACCCTACAGGCTCTGATAAGCTGCAGCCCCATACACCCTAATCTATGGACCCTACATCTTACATCCTCCACCATGCGCGTTTTGACTGCTAGGCTTCTTCGAAACTGTTGGCTGTGAAGCGATCTTGCACTTATGTTAAGAGTGGAGAAAGATGAGGCTCGCCTAGAAAGCGCTTCGTGTCTTGAGGCAAACGTCTCTAGAACGATGTCTACCTGCAGCTTTAACCGAAGCCTGCCACAACTACACACTCTACAACCATGGACCCCCAAGACGAATCTCTTCAAGGGAATCCCCACTCCTCCTGATTAAAAAACCAGCAGCCAAAGGCTACTAAATCCTAGAAGTAGCCTTCCTGGCAACCCTTGTGGGAACCCTCACAGACCCCTGAATGGAAACCTCAAAACAACACCGGGCCCGTTTTAAGTCGAAAAAGGCCCTATAACAGGGTGGTGGCATTCCGTGCCGGGCGTTCCCGGGTTCCGTTCCCTTCGTTCCGTTCCGTTCTGCTCCGTTCTACCATATGCAGGTGCAATGCGATTGCCCGAGAAGGGGCCAATGATTTCTTCAACCCTTGGAAGCATCACTTGCGCAACCGAACCTAGTACAACTCAGCTCTCGGCAGCGAAATATGGGGGAACTTTTTCGCGAGCTCATTACAGGCTGTCCCCTGGACCTTGTGAATCATCCCCGAAGCTGCAGGGGATTTCAAAAGGAAGCATTCGCAGAACTTGTATCGAAGAAAGAGTTGTTTTTCCTTGGTTCTGTCCCGTTCCGTTCCGTTGTGTGTGTTTGACGGTGCGATGCGATTGCCCATAGAGCGGCCAATGATTTTTGCAGACGTGGGAAAATTCGCGGAAGAGTTGCTCACGCAGGCTCGCCCTGGATTTTGTAAACATGTTTCAGCGGGCACTGATCTTTGCAGCCGTCGGAAAAATCATTTGCGAAACCCCGGCCTCCAAATACAACCGGGGAGCAGCTCGCCAGCGAGTTCATGCAGCCTTTCCCGTGGTTTTTGCGAATCTCTCGCCCACGAGTTTAAGTTCGATAGAGCCAAAGTGTTTGAGACATCAGTTGCTAAACCCCGGCCTCCAATTACAACCGTGGAGCAACTCGAAATCGCGGAGGCTCTCCCCAAATTTGGAAGTTTTCTCCCACGAGTTACAGGTTGGAAGGAACCAAAAAGTTTTGTTGGAAGGGCTGCCACAAACAGGCCGGAACGTGGGGATGGGGGTTGCGGGTGCACCCTTGTATATATAGGCAGTGTACAGCGCCTTCCCCCTGCCCCCTTATTGCCCGGTTGTGTAGGGTTGCGGTTTCAGTGTGGGGGTGGTTTCGTTTCAGGGCTTGGTTTAGGGTTAAGACATCTTGCCCAGGCCCCCTGAAGGGGAAACCCAGGCATAGGGTTTTGCCGAGGTCCCCAATTTTGCAGGGGCAACCCTGCTTACGGTTTAGGGTGCCTAGCTCCCCTTGTTTTCGGGGAAGGCGGGCACGTAGGGTTTAGGGCCCGGCTTTAAGTTTTTTTAGGTCCCTTTTCAGGGGGAAGCTGGGCTTCGGGTTTAGGGTAGTGCTAGGTTAGGTTGTTTCCCATCCCGTCCCCCTGCTCGACCTAATGACGTGCCCTTGCACGGACAGCAGTCGGACCCGCCAAAAGTCATTCAGGAGATTTCCAGGCATTTGGCAAGTCACACCCCAAGCGGATGCTGGCTGCCGAAATTGGTGAAGTTTCGTTTCTTGCCTGTCAACACGCATCCCAACATCAACCAATGAATTTTCGATTTTCCGGAACCGCAAATAATCATCCAGGAGATGTCCAGGCAAGGGCAAGTCGCACCTCAAGCCAGTGCTGGTGCCGAAGCTGGTAAAATTTCGTTTCTTGCCCTTCGCCATGCATCCCAACACTCACCAGTGAATTTTCCGGACCCGCCAACAGTCATTGAGGAGGTTTGAAGGCACGGTGTAACCAGTGGACAGCAACACCGTACGCCCGAGTTGGCTGCCGAGTTGGAGATTTATCTCTTCTTGCCGTTCCCCATGCATACGAACACTTACCAACGAAGCTTCCCGATCTGCTAAAACTCATTGACGTGGTTTCAGTAAACTCGCGATCTGCTTGGCCTTCTTTTGAGAATCTTTGTTGCGTTCCGTTCTCGTTCGCGTTCTGTTCCGCTCCCGGGGCTGTGCGAGCACGGCCGCGCCCTGGCCTATATTCAGCAGCCAACAAGGTCCATCGCAGGAACTGTTCAAGTCCTGGGCACCGGAGAAGCAGAATCTTATCGCCCGGGGACAAAGACCAGCGGGAGTTCAGTGCTTCGAGTTTAGGGTGTGGGGAGAGAAGGAGTTGAGTGGTAATTAGGAATAGCGATGACGAGCACGAGATTCGTTCTTCATTGGTCAACATCATGATACTGACGTCGTAGTTACTTTGGCTGTACACAATAATGCCACCAACAAGATTATTGCAGCACATACGTTGACTTTTTCGGGAATCCGATGCAAGTAAATCAGGGTCGATGCATATTTGGGTCATTACATAGGCTCTTGGGACTGAGGGTCTCGGTTTGGGGTTCAAGGTCTAGGGTTCAGGGTGCTTAGGTGCCACAGGGGTTCACTGTGGACAGAACTGTTAGCATTGCTTTTGCATCGTTCTGGCGAATGAAGGCGAGGAGGTAGATGATGACTGCTCACGATTACGCTGCCGCTAATGAAGCCCTCAATTATGTTCCGTTTTTCTCCCAGACCCCAAACCCTTGGTTGGCTTCAATGCCTGACAGATTTTCTGGTTCGGTCAGAGACACATCGATTTGCGAGAGGAACAGATCAGGTGAGTCTCCAGAATTGTCGCACTTAGCAGATAGTTTGTGGGCGTCAATCAATTTATTTTCAAGAGCCCTGTGAGTCAGAAATATCTAGGGCTCCTTCCGAATATTGGTAGGTGATTGTAGTGGGTGTCATCATGGGAGCATTTAAGACATCACATCGTACCTAAACCTAAGCCCTTTAAGACTGTTAGAAGCACGGGTGGATTCGCAGTCTTAAACCCTGAAGCCATCAAAATCCGAAGGCCAAAACATGCCATGAATAAAAAAACCTGGGTCCAACACAAATATCACTACGGGTTGCGAATATTGGTCTGTGTACATGTGGTTGTGTGTTTGTGTCTGCATGCAGGTGTGTATTTACAGGAATATGTAGGCGCACAAAAATATTCATATTCTCATACATATACACACTTGTTCATGTGTATGTGTAAACATATCTACATACATACGTACGTACTTACACACATGCATACACATACCGATGTTATACATGTATGTATACCTAAATACACACCCACACACCACACACACCAAAACAAGCAACACACGCCAGGTGATACCAGGCTATTGCCTGCCCGGTACCGTGGGCAATCTGGTTCAGGCGCGGAGCTACTTAAACAGTTAAGTTGCCGATGCCTGAATTGAAGGGTTTCTGGCTTTTTTGGGTGTAGGCTTTGTTAGAGTCTAGGAGTTTAGGGTTTGAGAGTTTTTGTGATTACGGATTTGCAGGGTGCTTTAGAGTTTCATGGGAATTAGAGTTGAAAGGGTTTATGGGCCTTAATGAGAGGCCATGTAGGGGTTAGTAAGGCTTTACCGGGCTGTAGGCTTCCATTGGTTGGGTGAATCGGTGGTCATCGCGTTGTACAGGATACGATACGAAGCTTTACAGGGTTGAACGGGGTTTCATAAGAGGCTTTCTAGGGTCTGAGTACCTAAGATTCACTAGTGCAATTTTATTCTTACTGACGCCAAGGGCCTGTTTTGATACAGCCCCAGCAGAATGTGAGATATTAGAGTTCAGCCTCAGGAACGACTCTCTTGGCCTCTGGGTGCAGAGGGTTGGGATTCTGTGAAACCCTGAAGCCTTCGCGCTTGTGGGTTCAGTGCATTTGCTCATTCAGTGTTCCGCCAAGCCCTAAACGCAGCCTTAAGCGCTTGGGATTCGGGTCCCTTACAGTTGGGCTTTACAGACACAGAAACAGCTCCTAAACCTTATAGCTCTTCAAGCTCTCGCTGTGGCTTAAACCCCAGTTAACCCCCAAAGCCTGAAGCCCGAATATTGAAGTGCCAAGAAGCAGCCAGATAAGGACCCCTAGGTATATACCCTTAATATAGCCATTATATACCCATTATATAGCCCATTATAGGGTAGGGGTCAGCAGGCAAAAGAGAAGAAGATTGAGCTCTCCAGCGGCATCGTCCACGTCCGCTGCGAGGTACGCAGGCGAAGTGTCCAAGGGAGAAATGGCCACGTCGTCCCGCGTGTGTCGGGTGAAGTTGCAGGTTTAGGGTTCAGGGGCTCACGGTTTACGGGTAGGGTGTAGCGACTGCAAGGACTAAGACGAAAATGAGGATCCTGTGTTTGGATACAGGGACTTCGCAAGCCGTGGAGGGGCGATTCCAGAAACGAGGGGCGATTCCAGAAACGATACCTATGTTTATGTCTCGTTTGGCTTGCTTGCACACCTCGCGAGGTAGATGCTTACGGATCGTGGTTTATCATTTGATGGCTGGGGTCTTGTATCAGTTGGATAGGAAAGAGCCATTTTTGCTGCTAAGCCTGCCATGCATCCCCGGTGGCCTTCGCCGCACCACTGGTCGCACCTTGAAGCCGTAAACTGAAGTCCAGTCAAATCCAAACTACTGAGCCCTTGAGCCTGAATCCAAATACAGGGGGCTTGATAATCAGAAAAAGGTTTTGGGGTATACCCTACCATACGTATGAAAGGAACCCGAAGGAATAGTATTGGCAATTACGCAGGCTTCTGCATTAAGCCCTGAACTCAGACTTCATAAGGTGGACCATTTCTCCATCTCTGATCACACGGACTCGCGGGGCATCGTGGAACTCATCAGCCAGGTGCAGAATTTGCTTACCCGTGATCTGTTGGGCTTGTCGGCTTACACTTTTCGCGTTTAGGCTTAGGGCTTGGGGTTTGGTGCTCCTCTTATTGTCACAGGAGTATGGGCTCGGATCTAGGTTACACCTCAAAGAGCAAAATGCCAACAAGGGAGGCTCAATCCTGCAACATGCGATATGCCGGCGGTAATGTGGAGGCCTGATTCAAGAACGCGCCAGGGAAAGAAAGGATGTTCAGTCTTAAGGCATGGTTTTGGGAGTCGGGTGTAGTTGCGATCCGTTGAGGCTTTCGTCTGCCGGGATCCAACGAGGGAGCTTCCAAAAATTAGGGGTACCTTTTCGGGAGGTCCTTAAAATAAGGATCCTGGAATTTAGGGTACTATATTAGGGTCCCCCTATTTTTGGAAACAGAAACTCCCGTATGTAGCTATGCCAAGCAGACGCTAACTTTGCATTTGGCGGGGCGGGGTCTTATGTTCGGTAACTGCGGAGCTAGATCTTAGATGCCACAACAAGGGAACTCGACCTAAAGGACATCACAGCAGAGGCTGCGTGGACATGGGTAATTATTTGTCTACCCGAAGGGGTAAGATTTGCATCATGACACAGAGACGTCTGTCCAGGCCAAGCTGCGTAACTTGTCCCGGTCTTCCATGCATAGTTTGAGTTATGTGACGTGGCCACTTCATCATGCTCAAGCATTTGTTAGTTGAAGTGGGCGGAACTGACCCAGACAGGTAGACGAGCGAAAGCGCAGATAGACATTCATGCAAGGCATGCGTACATGCAGACAGACATTCTCGTGAAGCCACTCAAACAGCGCTTGATAGAGCCTCTCTGGTGCCCTTACCCGTAGAAGCTTGTAAACGACTCTTTCACCGCCCAATCTCGGAGACGACTCTTGTGGGCTACTGGTCTTGACCAGTAGGACCTTTTACAGCGCATCTCTCACCCTAACCTACACTACCAGGTAACTACCATGACCTACTTTCTTGCAGGATCTCGATGAATTAGCTGAATAAACCCCAACTTGAACTTGTAGTGGCCTCGTGAAGCAGGACTTGGTGGCTCGAGGTAGGTCTCAAGTCTTGAAACCCTGGACTAACCCCTTAAGCTACCAAACCCTAAACTCAAACACCTACAAACCCCTTAAACTGAAGCCCTGACGCGAAAGAACCCCTTCGCAAAGCCTTGAAGAACATCGTGTACAAACCTTACTGACAAGCCCTGCTGATAGAAACCTGAAAGAAGCCTTTAAAGACACGGCTATGGAAGCCCCTTCTAGAATCCTTTTACAAACCCTCCAGAGATCCGTAAATAAGTCGCTACAATATGGAAACCTGTCTAGAACCCGGGAACCCAGTGCTCAAGCTGGTGAAGTTTGCCCTGAGCCCTAAACCTTAAGCCCTTAGCCCTGGGAAGAGCTCCCTCTGCTAGGTGGCACCCAGACAAGTCCGGGGCTCAAAGAGTCGAACACCCGTGCAAGCTTAGGGTTTAGGGTTTAGGGTTTAGGGTTGGGGGTTCTTAGGGGTATTTAGAAATAGTTTTTAGTTTTTGGTTATTATAATCCCTAAGAAACAGCTAAAATCATAATTTTTGCCAGGGTTCTAAGTTCAGTGTTTAGGATACATTACATCTGGCAGGCAGCGCCCATTGTAGGGCTCGAGACACGACGGGGAGGATCTCGGAAACGACCCTGTCCTTGCGGGCCTTTGCCTCGCTTCAGAGCCACCTTCACCCAGACTGCCGGGAGGATCCAAAAAGTAGATTCCTTAATGGGGGTTCCTATAAAGTACCCTTAGTAGTATAGGGCCCCAAATTAAGGGATCTACTTTCTAGATCCTCCCGAGGGTCTGGGCAAGAAGGGGCCGTCCTGATAAGTGCGCTGGGCTTCCCGGAAACCATCTAGTACAGGGGTGTAAGTACTATCAACGCCATTTTTTAGGGTTCCGTACTGTTCTTATAATAATATACCTCCAGAGCCCTATTAAGTTAAGCCCCCTACAGTAAAACCTCAGCCCTGAAGTGAACCGTGACCTGCAAGCACTACAAGTCCATTCGGAAGCACAGAAGCATGAGCCTTAAACCCCAGCGGGCCCAGCACCTTGCCGTACTGGCAGTTTTGATGGAGGCTTTACCGTTTATAAGGAGCCCCAAAAGCCTTTAGAAGGTCCAGGTAGGTTTAAGGTTGAGGATTCAGGGCTTGTGGTAGTAACCCTGAGAAGTAACCTGGAGAAGAAAATCATTGAAGATCACGAATCGTGTCAGCAATGATACTAATTCTTTGTGCTGGCACCGCGGGGTTCCTGGCAGGGAACCTGAAACGTGCCGTAATATGGGTTCTGGTTCAGGAATTCGATTTAATTCGCCATACCAAGGAAATCACAACAAATTCTGTGGATCCGTGTTATGTTAAAGTAACATGCTGAACAAGAACCCATTTCGGACTCCCATGGCACCAATCCTAAGCCCAGGTAGTCTATCAGGACCTCACGTAAGGCAACAAGCGACACCCCCCAAAGCTCGTTCTAAGCCTCGTACGACCCCGTCCCTAGACCCTCCTTCTACCCTCTATTAGACCCTAAATACCTACTACTAGGGACCAATCCCCCTATTTGAGGGTACAAGGAGGGTCCTGGTAAAGGCCTGAACATCGCCCGAAGCCCAGGTAGTTTTGGTGCACGGTGGTCTGCAACTGATGGACACATTCGCGGCCATTGTGCGGAAGAGGTTACGGCTTCCATGTCCGCTCCTCGGACGGCTTTCTACATAGACCCGACGATCCAAACACTGGGTCGTGTGAAAAAGTGTCATGGGAGTTTCCGAAGTTAGGGGTACCTTATTTTTGGGTCCTTATAAGAAAGATCCTACTATTAACGGTACTACATCAGGGTCCCCTGTTTTCGGAAGCTCCCTTATCTCAAATCATGTAACGGTAAGATACCTAAGAAACCGGTCAGAAGGGGCTTGATCCAGGAATACTATTCTAGTTATCAAGGCCCTCCAAAATAGGCCGCAATCCAGCCCCGATAGGCGATTGCCTTTACTTGCATAAGCCCCGGACTTTGGGGCCAAAAAGCACTCTACCCTAAACCTTTCTCTTGTCGGGGGCTTAGGATTGGGTTCCGTCAAAGATGGAGGGAAAAACAGCAAGATTGGAGGGGGCTGCCTTAGCAGTCGGAGGTCCTTACTTGAGGGGCCCTTTTGACGATGCTATTTTGAAGGGTCCCGCATCTGCCTCGACTCCAATGGACACGTATCTGAACAGGCTACCCTCATTGGTATCACTCCAGGGCAGCCCTCCTTTTGCAAGGCTTTCGAAAAAAATGAACACAGAAGTTGTCGGACCCTATTGACACAGCGGGGTTTGTTTAAGGTCAAAGCAGACCGTAAACGAGCGGCGGTTTCGAAGTCTCCATGCAATAGATTCTCGGGTGTTGTCTTTGGAGTGCGCCGGCAGCGCACAATGCAGGTAGCACAAATGCCATAGCAGATGTGATGTAGAGCCTGATCCCAACAATCTAAACCCTAAACCTGCAACATGGTATATTTGATGGAACCGCGGCTTGGCTAGGCTGCGAGGTTCACCCAAACCTGCAAGGTTCCCCGAACCCCAAACTGTCGCCTGGCTCTTAGTGGGGAATGGGGGAATGGATCCCTATAGTAGTCCCTATATAACCCCGAAGAATAGTCTCCATACTCCATTAGACTGTGCAGGCTGCCGTTTGTGAGTTTTAGAATTCATTGTTTATGAATGTTTGTGAAATCAAATCCCTCCGGGGTTGTTCAGAGAATACTACCTTCTATCTATTCATAAGGACGTCGCGGCGCCCTGAAAATGGTTTCCAGTCCCCTTATAATAGGCTCCCGCTGCCGCAATAAGGGTATACTGTTTGGTGCTCAAGTTGCTTCCCACAGTTAACTGCAGGTTGCAAAAATGCAGTTGTCCCGTGCGAAAAAGGGGGGTGTCTTTAGTTGTAGAATCCATCATTGCCTGTCGTGCGTGTTGGTGCTCCTTGTTTTCCGAAGCTCCTCGTGAGCAGGCAGGGACGGGTACAAAGCCCGGCCTTTAGAGGGTTTTAGGGTTTAGGGTTTGCCCTTAAAGTTTTGGTCTGGGTTTGAGGTTTTAGGGGGTTCAGATTAGAGTCGATGACTTGCCAGCTGGAACTGTTTGGATGATCCAGGCTACAGGCCTGATGGGAGCATGGCCAGCAACAGTTGCACAAGGAAAGCCGATTTGGTGCTGAGGGCTCGGAAAACGAGATTGGTCAGAGTCTGTCTGGTTCTTAGTAGGGAATGGGGGAAATGGATCCCTATAGTAGTCTCTATACAATCCCCAATAATAGTCTCCATAATCCATTCCCCCATTTCCTACTATGAACCAGACAGAAGTTGATCGTGGACAAATGAAGTGGTCCCGACCCGGCAGTCTGCCTTACCTTAGCGAATGGCCGCCAAAAGTCTAAAGCTAACCCTAAACCCGAAACCCTCATACAGGAATTTCCGAAAATAGGGGGACCCTAATATAGTACCCCCGAAATAGTAGGATCCTTATTATACGGACCCCAAAATAGGGTACCCCTAAACCCTGCACGTCCTTGAACCGTGAAGCTCCTCGCGACGTAAGCCCCTCCCTTTTTCAGGGGCTTGAAGAATTTAGTATAGAGTTTTATCGCCGTATAGTCACCAGACAAACACAATCGAACACACACGAAAAATTCGGTTCAAGGCAGAAATACCCAAGGCCCTTACATTTCCCTTTTTAGGGCTGTAGTCCCTACATCAGTACAGAATAGAAATTCTTAAGGCCCCTGTATTACCCTTCCTTTAGCTCCCTAAAGAGTGCCACACCCGAAACCCGCGAACCCTAAACCCTAAACCCTAACCCCTAAACCCTAAACCCTAAACCCTTTTCAGAGAGCGGATGCTACCTCTGGAGAAAAGGAGTTCAACAAAAAAAACCCTAAACCCCTGAACCCTAACCCCGCAAAAGTGCCTCCGAAAGGTCACATGCCGGCGGTAGGCGATCACTTGGAGATCCCTTGTCCCGTGGCCGTGGAGGCGCTCTAGGTAAGGTCCAGGGTTTAGTAATAGTAATAGTAATAGGTAAAAGCCAGAAAGTTGGAATATGATTATCCTAAGCCCTTCTGTGGTAAATTATAGGGGATCCTACCATGAAGCCATATTCCAACTTTCTGGAGTTTCCTATAGGTAAGGTCCAGGGTTTAGGGTTAGGCCTGAGGGGTTTAGGGTTCACGGTTTGGGGTAGGGTTGAGGGTTTGAGGGCCTAAGGTTTAGGGTTTCCTTGAATGGTTCATAAAGTGTTGAGGAAGATTCCAGTGATTATCTCCAGCTATCAATACCTAAACCCCCAAAAGTAGGTAAGATCATGGCTCAACTCCTCTAAAGGGCTGTTATTCTACATGCTTTTGGGGTCCAGGTATTAGTTTTTATCTTTGCTGATTACCCAACGCTAAGGGTCTATGTTGGGTCAATGGGGCTTCTACTTAAATGGATTGCCTGGTGGACTTTGAAAAGAATTCCTACACGGCTCTGTGAGGGTTCAAGGTTTAGGGGCTCTAGGCTGCTTCTAGCAGGTCGTATATCGTCTCAACCCTAAACCTGACAAGCCCCATACCATGAACCGTAAAGCCTTAAACGATCAAAAAGAAACAGTCGAGTCCCCAAAACCGACAAAGGCATAAACCCTAAACCAAAACAAGGCCTTAACTCAACGCCCGAAATCATGAGCCAAAACAGAAGCAACTCGACCAACATCTTCTTCGCCTCAGGCAATGAGCAGAAACTACCAAATCCAAACTATATAGAGACCAAAACGCATTCAAAATGCTTCAAGGCTCTTACAGGACCCTCGTAAAGCCTTCGTAGCGCCCTGATAAATCCCTTAAGCCTTCAATCTCAAAGCTCCCCAAGCGCGCCATTAAACCCTACGCCCTAAGAACTGAAGCCTCAAACCTTCATGTAGGGCCCGTATGGAAACCAGGCCTGGGCTAGCTCTTTGCTGATGGCCCAGACCGAGCCGATCCCCCCACCACCTGCTGGGATCTGAGCCGATGCATTTTCGTGTCTGGGGATATGTTGGGATTAGGGTTTATACTGATGGTTTAGGATTTATAATATTGGTGTAGGGTTTATACTATAAGTTTAGGGCTTAGGGATTCCAGGGTTTATGGGTTTATAGATTTTTGTTGAGGGGGTTTCGCTTTTGGATTTAGGGAGGCGGTTTGTTTAAGGATCCCAATACGCTAAAATCGTATGCCATGGGGGCCTTCGTTACCAGAGTAGGCTTCTTGCGCTATGTTCTACCATACTGCTGATGGTATAAATCCTGCATTACCCATAATAAGGAATGTACCACAAGTCCCATAGTTTAGGGTCCTTAAGGTAATGCAGGATTTATATCATCCACCGTAGGTCTGGACAGTTTGGGGAGAAGACTTCCAAATCCTCCGACACCGAACTTTTGCTCCCTTGAAGGCTGAGGTACCTTGGCGTTCTTCTGGTTGGCTCTTTAGACTTTAACTTTTTGGGCTTCTATATGAACTATAATAAGGAGGCTAAAAGTTTCACTTTTAGGAGGGGCTCAGAAGTCAGGCAAGGTACAGTTACTACTACCCCGAGCCCGGCACGTAATTGTCGGGCACATGGTCTTAGGGTTTGGGGGCTTGCGGGGTTGTACTCATGTCCCAACTATCGATGCCTTGGTACAGGATATTTATCGGGTGGCAAGTGGAAGTTCGCGTGCCTTGGTTTCTGCAGTAGTTTGCTGTCGTTAAGGGGCTCAGAGCACTCTGCTCAGGGTTGGCATGTACAAGGAGCCTTGCTCCCAAAAAAGAACAGCGCATTCTCAAACCCTAAACACTAAACTCTAAACACTAAACCCTAAACCCACAGGGCAAGGTCCGTTTAGCCCGAGCCCTCGAGCCTGCAACATAGGCCTTTGCAGTAGGGCTCACGCGATTTTTGGGTGGAGCTTTACAACCACTGTACTATAAAGAGACGTAGAATAAATAGATCTCGATCAAGAATTAGATCTAGATACATTTATAGGGTATCTGTATATATATATATATATATATATATATATATACATATATAAAATACATATACATAAACGTATCCATATCCATATCTCTGTCTCTCTGTGTCGCTCTCTCTCTCTCTCTACCTCTCTCTCTCTCTTTCTCTCTCTCTCTCTCTCTCTCTCTCTCTCTCTCTCTCTTCTCTCTCTCTCTCTCTCTCTCTCTCTCTCTCTCTCTCTCTCTCTCTCTCTCTCTCTCTCTCTCTCTCTCTCTCTCTCTCTCTCTCTCTCTCTCGCTAGTCGAGCTAAATATCAGTATAGTAACTATTTCGGTATAGTATATCCAGAACCCTATTTTGCATTTTTAGGGCCCCCATCAGGTCTGTTTCTATCTGGATGCCTTTCTGGCACGGAAGGGTATGCCGTGCCGCAGACAAGAGCGTAGAAGTCCTGGTGCCAGCACGTTTCAACGACTGCAAACATCCTACAACCCCGCAGGCAAGCTAACACAGACCGAACGAAAGGAAAGCAAACGAAGACGTTTCAACGACTGTAAACATCCTACAACCCCGCAGGCCAGCTAACGCAGACCGAACGAAAGGAAAACAACGGAAGACGTTTCAACGGCTGTAAACATCCTACAATCCCGCAGGCAAGCTAACACAGACCGAACGAAAGGAAAGCAAAGGAAGACGTCTCAACGACTGTAAACATCCTACAACCCCGCAGGCAAGCTAACACAGACCGAACGAAAGGAATGCAAAGGAAGACGTTTCAACGACTGTAGTAAACATCCTACAACCCCGCAGGCAAGCTAACACAGACCGAACGAAAGGAAAGCAAAGGAAGACGTTTCAACGACTGTAAACATCCTACAACCCCGCAGGCAAGCTAACACAGACCGAACGAAAGGAAAGCAAAGGAAGACGTTTCAACGACTGTAAACATCCTACAACCCCGCAGGCAAGCTAACACAGACCGAACGAAAGGAAAGCAAAGGAAGACGTTTCAACGACTGTCAACATCCTACAACTCCGCAGGCAAGCTAACACAGACCGAACGAAAGGAAAGCAAGGAAGACGTTTCAACGACTGTAAACATCCTACAACCCCGCAGGCAAGCTAACACAGACCAAACGAAAGGAAAGCAAAGGAAGACGTTTCAACGACTGTAAACATCCTACAACCCCGCAGGCAAGCTAACCCAGACCGAACGAAAGGAAAGCAAAGGAAGACGTTTCAACGACTGTCAACATCCTACAACCCGGCAGGCAAGCTAACACAGACCGGACGAAAGGAAAGCAAAGGAAGACGTTTCAACGACTGTAAACATCCTACAACCCCGCAGGCAAGCTAACACGGACCGAACGAAAGGAAAGCAAAGGAAGAGAGAGGCAACCGAAGCCGTCAAACCCTCGACAGGCGAACCCTTAAACCCCAAACCTCTAAACCGCGAACCCCCCGGACACTAAACTCAATTTGCCTTCAATCCTGCAACCTATGAGTCCTAGGAACCCTGCAGGTTATCGGGGTGCCCCTCATCCATGCCGCCATGCCTGTTGTCGCGAATTTCACTGCGGAGCTGCGCAAGCGCGACCGCCACAATGGCCGCAGTAATACAGGGGGTCTGAGCAATTAGGCATCTTATCCACTTGCGCTCCTACAAAAATTCTAGGTTAATTTATGCCCGACCCTAATTAGTTCAAAAGGTGAACACCCTGTATTGTAGATTTTCAGTTCAAGGCAAAAACAGGGCTTTCGGGCTGTTTAGGGTTTACAGCATGGGGTGTCGTAGTGAAGGGTGAAATTGGAGGTTGGGGCTTAGAGGAGTATAGCTTCCTGGTGAAGAGCATGGGACTTCAACGTTGGGACGTTTGTAGCAGAGGGGTCAGAAAGGTCAGCTGAAGGATTGCAGAAAGCCCAAATGCGGATGGTTTATATATAACAGTCCTCTGGGGTTCTTTTGGGGCATGGTGTAGGGCGTGAAAGGGCATCATACGGGAGCCTGCGTAAGGCAGGGTTCGGGGGGTTTGTTATCTTGTACAGTGACGGTGAGGAGAATGTATGAGGCTTCTGCTGGCATTTTGCACAGGATTTCAAGCTGAACAGGGCGAGTCGACATCATCATAATATGATTCCGAAGATTAATAGTCGTATCTACTATTACCCATAGATGGATAGATGGAGGGAGGGATGGATGGATGGGTGGGTGGGTAGATGGATAGATAGATGGATAGAGCGATCGTATTGAAATGATTATTATGTGTACCTGTTTATATATAGAAACACAAACCGGGCGCACAGTCCTGTATCTTGTGCAGATGGATCCCGGTAAAGAAGATTTACAGTGGTACAGTGGTAATGTCCTGCCACACTTCTCCTTAATCCCACCATTACTGCAACACCGCTTAGCAACCGCACAAAGCTTTCAAACAGCTCACAGCATAGCCCAAAGAAGAACGCGAGAAGCCAAAAAATCTAAACCCTAAATGGTAGGATCCTTATAATAAGGACCCCGAAATAAGGTACCCCTAATTTCGGAAACTCCCACTCACACCACGGGGTTTCGGCCTCTCAGGCGGATCCCTGGAGCTCCACGCGGCGGCTCATGGACCCAGGGCCAAAGCAAAGGTGGGACCCGGTAGGGCTTACGAGGCTTAGTGGTTCAGGGGGTTTGGGGGGTTAGGGACTTAGGGCTTGGGCGGCTTAGGAGGCTTAGTGGTTTAGGGAGGTTGGAGGGTCAGGGGGTCGGGATAAGTATTATGGTAATAGGTAGGCCTCTATTATCGTGTAATAGTATAGCTAGCCTTATAGTACCGATGAAAGTAATAGCCTCTAACGGTGAGAGGGGTTCTGGATATGATATTATACTATATTATCTTCTGATATGTCTAGTAGAATAGACGTCGGGATAAGTAATATATGGTCGGTATACCCTACAAGGCTATAAGGGTTACTATAAGGGTTACTATGAACAATGCTTACTATCAGGTCGCGGGTCGGGATATAATCCACTATAGGGGCCTATAACAATTGCCTAAGCTATTTTGGGGGTTCCTTATTAGTATAGTATAATATGCCCCGAAACCCGATAAGTCCAATATAACCCAAAACCTTGTTCTAGTTTTGAAGGTTCCTGCTTTAGTGTGTCCTTGGCCCTTGGCTGAAACTCTAGTAGTAGAGCAGCAGAGCTTCAAGGTTTCCGAGTTTTGGGATAGAGCTTCGGGGGTCAGGGCTTACAGGGCTCAGAGAATTAGGCCGTGTCCGAAAATGATGGGTACCCCTTGCTTTGGGCCCATATCATAAGGATCCTACTATTTAGGGTGCTTTATTATTGGGGGCCCATCCTCTGAAACTCCCGTATACTTGCATAGAGCCCTTTATTAACGGAACCCTTATATAGTAACCCGTTTAAAGGAGCCCGAAGGTACACCTAATTTTCGATGAGACTCCGCAAACTACAAGTCATCCACAGCTGCGGTAGCTGGCCATGGTCAATACATGCATGATTTCCTGCACAACGCGGACCAACCGTGCCTTAATACTTAGAATAGGGTTTTGGGGCCCAGTATACTGAAATTATATTCATGAACCCCCAGAATAGTGCTGCACCCTCTGCTCCTGCCGACTTTCATCTTTGCAGATTGATCTGTGTTTCGCATCTCTGCTTGTGCACATGCTTGTTTTGTCTCGTGGGCCGAGAGGGATGAGGGCTGCGTTGGATGTTGTCTAGGTTGGATTTTGGGACATTTTCTATTTTCCTTATTTGGGTTTATAAGGGACCCTATATATAAATATTTTTCACGGTGTTTAAAGGCCATCCCAGTTGTGTTTCTACCGGGGATACCTTAGAAGCTGCCCCCCACCCTGTAATAGTGGTATAATAGGAATATAATAGGGCCCGAATATAATCCTTATAGTCACTATTACAGGGTGGGGGCAGCTTCTAAGGGATACCCCGTTCCGGAAATGGCCATGTTGTAGGTGCTTGCTTTCACAGAGCAGCGCGATCGAGACACCTTGGGGCCTTTGGGGTTTGGGGTTTTGGTGTTTTTGGGTTTCGGACTTAATCCAGGTTGTACACTTATACACTTTTTTACTTTCAGGTTTCTGGGTTCCTAATATAAGAAGCCTAAATAAGTTTATACTTTTTCCCAGTGGGTTACTGAACAGCCTAGCAATTAGGGCTGTTGCTTCGGTGTAGCCGTTTAGCTGCGGGCAGGATCTGGCAGACGTCCGGCGAGCGGAGGTTTAGGGTTTAGGGTTTTTGGGGTTTAGGGCTTAGGGTTTAGGGTTTCAGGTTTTAGGGTTTAGGGCTTTAGGGTTTATCATGGCTTCCCATAGCCATGCTGCTTGAGGGTGCCTCCTAGTTCAGATCATCGTTCTGCTTCAACCTTCGGATCTGGTTCATAGTGCCTATACTCTAATGGGACCAAACTCATGGCCCATTGCAGAACATGCAGCTCCGGGAACTTAGGACAAAGATGCAAGTCCTGTGATCTACTGCTAGTATCAGGAATCCCAGCTGTCAGCGTGCAAACTCTTTCTTCCTCATCTTCCCCGCTTCCTCTTCTTCTGCTGGGCAGCTTCCGAAGCCCATGTGAAACACATGTACCAAGCTTGCAGCTGGCTGCGTTTTCTCGCTGTAAGACTGCTGATCGTTTTCTTTGTTTCATCAAAGCTGTCGGCAGCCAAATCTTGGTTGTAGCTCGCAGAAGTCGAAGCCCTGAGCTGCAGAAAGAACTCCCAATGTTTTGTGATTTGATGGATCACAATTATACGAGATATTACCCGGCTTAGTGTTGAATGCTGAACAAACAAGAAAAAGTGTGTGAATCATTATCCGTCCGAGCATCTTTCCTTGAAAGACTTTTCCGGAGCCCAAACGAACTTGGAAATGAGGTAACATCTTCGATGTGTGCACCATGTGTATGATCGTGCAATCGGCCGGCATTGCAAATCGCTCCTGCAACCACTGGGGCACTTGGGTGCACGAAGACAAAGCGTGGCGGCTCTCTCTGAGCCGTTCGGCTGGGGGTTGCTCGGGTGGTACACCTTGCTCATCTTGCTCGTTGTTGTCAGCACCATTCGGCTCTGGCTCCACAGCATTTGCATCATCTTCTGCTCCACCGCCTTCGTCCTGTCTTTGCTAGAATCTAACAACCCGGTGTGCATTGGGTGCAAGGTTAATTTGATGTTTGCTCTTAGTTGCTAGTAGTTATGCTTACACCAGACGGGTGCAGATTCTGATCCCTTGCCTCCGTGCCGGGCATCTCGTCAAGCATCTGCTCTGCATACTCAACAGCAGGATCATGTGCCCCCTCAGCTAGACCATCATCCAGGGCCTGAGTCATTTCTTCACACTGGGACCCTGCAATGCTTTCTGAGAAAACACCAAATTACTGTTGATAAACAGGATTTGCCTCCTCATCATCAGCAGCGGCATTGTCTTGGTCGTCTTTCGGCTGCTTGCGTCGTTTTTGATCAAGCTGCTGGAGCAAAACATCCAAGGCTTCCAGCTCCTCCTGGGAGCAGCTCTCTGTCACCACTGGCAGCTGCATGATCTGTCTCGTCTTGAATGTCTTCGTGCTGTTCTTTCTCGCATGTACTCCGTGGGCCGCCAAGAGCTTGGAGAGCTGATCTGATGTCAAGCGTACGATCGCCTTGCTTTTCACCATGTCGACCACAGGGGGCAGCCCATTTGCTGCCCTGCGTAAGCAAAGAGAAGCCCCGAGCTTGGCAGCATAGTTGGCAGGGAGCCAGTGCACACTGTAGGAAAAGACCGTGACCTGAACAGGCTCGCAATCGCACAGGATCACCAACTAACCGCCACACCGTTCAGTTGATTCTGACAGGACTTGGATTTTGCAGGCAGCGGCACTTTGGCGATGTCATCCATCAGCATGACTCTCAGAGGATGCCTTGGCAAAAGCACTGTGAAGCATGCAGTAGTAAATCATATTGAGCAAGCTGCACATGAAACTGAGTTGTTTAAGCGGGGTGCTGCCCAGCTTGGATCTTCAACAGGAGAGCCTTCACCCTCTCCTTGTCTCGAAGCGGATCCTTCTGTGAATACCGGGCTTCCCGAGACAGCATCTTCGTTTCGTCCTCCGTCGCCACAGGCCATCCTCCTATGAACAGGAGTCTATGCTCCTCCAATGGCACTGCCTTACATCCACAGGAACTGGGCTTAACCAAACATGCAAACACCATAACATGAGTCCTTTCATAGGCTTCTTAGGCATCAGATAGTGTGCTGAGGCCAGAACATACAGCACGGCAGGTGTCCCACCCACACAAAGATAAAATGCTCCATCGATCTGCAGCAGCTGGCCCCTTTGCAAAATGGATGGAATCCAAAACTTCTCCGAGGCCTCGAGCAGGTCCCGCCCGCTCCTAGAAAGGACAGTCTGCAGTCACTCCCCACAAACGAATAGCAAGTCACTTCAAGTCGAGCTGGCTTTGCTGCTGCCACAGCCACTTCTTTGCAAGCCGGAGGCCCCTCAGGAAATTGAGCTGAGACTTGCAATGATTGAAAGCACTCGTGGACTCGTACGGCTTCAAGACGTCGTCCACTCGCATCTCGGAACCTTAGCTTGATTCAATGTAACACGGTCCCTGCGTGGTCCCAATGCCAACAATTCCAAAACCGTGCTTACCCCGAGAATTGAATCCGGAGTACAAGACGATGCCGAGTCTGGTCGCCATATGCGAGGCTTCAGATTGCGAATGGCATTGCCCTCGTAGTCCTCACTTTCGAGCTTCACCAGGTTCGGGCCGCCCTCCACATCCATCTTCTGCTGCACGGCCCGCACAGTCACACATTGCAAGTTGCTCAAGCAAGCATCTCCGTTCTTCACACCACGGCGGCATGCATCCTGAAGCGAAGAGAAAATGTCTTCGATGTTTGATGAAAAACTGTAGCGGGGGAACCAGGCTAAATTTACTCGATTTCGGCTTTAATCGGCCGGGCCGGTTAAATTTAAGCGATTTCGGCTTTAACCGGCCGGGTCGGTTAAATTTAACCGGTTTCGGCTTTAATCGGCCGGGCCGGTAAAATTTAACCGATGCCGGCTTTAATCGGCCGGGCCGGTTAAATTTAATCGACGTCGGCTTTAATCGGCCGGGCCGGTTAAATTTAACCGATTTCGGCTTTAATCGGCCGCCGTATGAGGCAGCCAAGCCACCCAAGCCAGCACTACTGCTACTGCTACTACTGCCACTGCTGCCACCCAAACCAGCACTACTGCTACTGCTACTACTGCCACTGCTGCTACTGCTACTGCTACTACGACTGTAACTAGTTACTACTACTACTACTGCTACTACTACTACTACTACGCTACTTCTGCTACTATTGCTACTGCTGCTACTACTACTGCTAGTACTACTATTACTACTGCTACTGCTACGACTACTGCTACCCTTACTGCTACTACTACTACTACTACCACTACTACTACTACTACTACTACTACTACTACTACTACTACTACTACTACTACTACTACTACTACTACTACCACTGCTACTACTACGACACTAGTACTACTACTACTACTACTACTACTACCACCACTGCTACTACTACGACACTAGTACTACTAGTACTACTAGTACTACTAGTACTA